CTGGTACTGACCCATTAACTACCAAAGTGTGATTTTAGTTAACTTCATTATACAGCGAGTCTTCTATTTATGATGGTTATATTTGCGTAATTTTGTGAGAAATTTGCTGAGAGGTTGAAAATGATTTAACCATTAAGTAGCAGTCATCATCAGTGTATGCTAGCTGTAGAGACAAGTACCACAAGGATCTACAGGGACACCACATCTAATATTTTATTAAGCTAATGCTGAAAATTTTATTCAGCAGAGAGGACCCTGCACACAAGTGGTTAGTAGGCAATACCCCCCCTAATCCCTTCACTATGGGGACACCACTTTTTAATACAGTATTTTATTTGGCTAACACCGCACGATTTTATTAAGCAGGGAGAGGACCCCGTACAAAAATGGTTAATGACCATGATCAAAATATATCAAGCCACTGTCAGGTTTGTGGAAAACACAGAGCGTACAGTACTGGATACGGAAAGGTAGCAAATCAAGAAGTTGCAACCATGCAAATACAATAGTGCAGTTCCAATGGTCAAGGGACCGGGGAATGATTTTTAACCTAGCAAAATGTAAGACTGCCCATGAGGCACAACAATCCTAATCACAATTACAGGGTATTCTGTTAACACTTTCTTGGATATTATTGATAAGGAAAAAGATCTAAGTGTTCTGACAGCTCAATCACTGAAGGCAAGGACAACAAGTGGGAGTACCAGTGAAAATATCTAAATGAGATTTAGGAATTACTATATGTCATACCTCAAAAAAAAAAAAAAGGAGAGAGAGAAATTCCTTCAACTTTATCTGTCTCTTGTAAGTCCCCATCTAGATTACTGTATACAGGCATGGAAACCTTACCTCTAGGACTAAACATCCATTGAAAAGGTGCAACGAAGATGATACATGAATTTAATCATCTTGATAATCAAAGTAGACTGAGTGCCTTAAGAATAATAACTTCAGACAAGACACTGTATGGCATATCTCAAAGACATTCAAAATCTTGAAAGGGATGAAAACTGTGAACCAAGACCATTTTTTCATGATGTCACAAGCCACCAACACAAAGGGAAACAACTTCAAACTAGCCAAGATATCATGCAGGACAAATATTAGGATATCCTTTTTCACACAGAGGGTGGTAGAACTATGGAAGAGTCTACCAGTTCAAGTTGTGGAATCAAGAATAGTACAGTACTGGGGTTCAAATTGGCCCTTGACAAGACTATAAAGAACAATGGATGGATCTTACATAGCCCACTAGCCTTCCCTCAGCATGGCCACCCTTATTTTGGGTGGCCATTAGATAAGATAAATAAAAACTATACCATTAACAATTAACAAAAACAATTACTGGCTAGGCTTGACATGCTATCAGGTCAAATTGACCCAACCTTGCCACCCAGACTCAGGATTAGTGTCCAGCTGACTGCACTTCCAGTTGTCATGTCAACCGACCATACCTTGCCACCAAGATGAGATCCGACTTGTAAATACAGGGATAAAATTCAAATAAAAATATGAAATTGAACCCAGCCTTTTCAAAATAAATTATTTAATAAATTCATTTGTTTATGAAAATTTATTTAAAAATGTCTAATTATCAAATTTAATGTCAAGAAAATAATTTATCTACCTTGTTACCATACTCAGTTTTGGTCTCCTCATTCCATGAGCGGCCATCAGCGCGAGTATAAGGAACATACTGGGTGAAAAAAAGTGCCACATGGCACCCAGGAGGTGCTAAGGTAGGGTCACAGCTGCTCGGAAGTGTCATTTCTATCATGGGGCTGTGTGAAGGAAAAATTCACACATAGAAAAATCATCAGTACTTTCTTTCATACACCAGTAATATAATTTTCATAAATCTGCAAGGAATTTACAAGATTTAATTTGTTAATTTTGTCACTTAAAACAGCTAGTTTATTGTGCACCCCATACTCATCCTGTGAGCAGTAGTGCAATTCCAACCATATAGTAATAACATCTCCAGGTGCCTAATACTGATATAGTGTCAACAAATTCCTATGTTTTCTGGTACAATTGTCATAAAATAATCAGAAAACAGTCACTATGTAGCCACTCCAGGACAGTGCAGTTGACATTTATGTTCTCTTTAATTAAAATGTTACTACACCAACTTATGTGCTTAATACTGCAATAGTATTACCAATAGTTTCTCTTCTTTGGTACAATTACCCTCAAAACTAAGAGAATTTGTTTCAATACAAACATGATACCCTGTATTACAAGAAGTGAGGGGAGGCATTGGTGGAAGCATTAACCACGTTAAGCTGGGGAAGTGTATACATACACTGCCATCGGTATAATCAAAGTAAGAGTGTGGGATATACAGACATACACAGTGATATATGTGGCACAATGACACATTTGACAGTTTCAGAGCATAACGATAGCAGATCCGGCGCCCTGGTCAACTCTCCCTAGAACTGGAAAACTGACATCACCTGAGGAATTTCAAACATTCTATTTTTCTGATAAACACACCTTTTTATTAGAGCAATGGGTTAATTACTTAAGGTAACAGATACAAAAGTGTAGCCTTACTTGTCTGGTATGAGACCTGCAGAGGCTTGCCTGAATGCTTCCTCTAACAGTTGTGTTTTCTCACAGTTCAAGTGGATGGTACAGCGGTGGTGAGGCATGACTGTATCTTTTCTATTATTAGGGTTTGCTTTAAAGTCGGGTAGAGACTTCACAGCAACTTTGGAAAAGAAGAAAAGAAAGGAAAATGCAGATTATTTTCTTTATGATAAATGGAATTACACCTCTTCATTTTTTCTTAATCATGAATACCTGTATACAGTATATTTACTGGGTTTAGGAAGTACAGTAGTCTCTCGCCAACCACGGTGGTTAAGCTCCCCCAAAAAACCCATGGTTGGCAAGACTAAAGGCTTATGGGAAATATGGGGTTAGGTTCCACAGCTGCAGATAACACTCGTCAAAGCCTACCTAAGTTTCCATATCACGTCTCACTGATGCTATACTCTCCCCACGCACTAGTCTATCAAGCATTTCAATTTTCTTTTCTAATGTCATTACTTTCCTTGCCCCTTTTCACTTTCTTCTCACTTTTATCACTAACACTCAATGAATGCTTGAAGGCCATAGTTAAGGGAAAAATCATATTAATACAATAGAAAATATGTGAGAATATGAAGCAGTTTAGTATATCTGTACACTACGAGATCATAACACTGAAGAGTGTGGAGAGAAGTGGTGTGATATGGGAGGCTGTGTGGAGGAATACATTAGACCATGGAGGGATAAAGACGCTGAGCTAACCCACGGATACATAAAGCTTAATACTGTACTGAGGTTAGTATAATGGTATACAAGGTGAAAGCCATGGATACATGGAATCTGCAGATAACGAGGGTCTACTGTACACATATTAAAACTGTAAATATTACGTATTGCATAATAAAAAATAAATACAGAAGCATGTGGAGCAATAAGTAAAATATGGAAAAACATATGTCTTCTAGCAGTGGTTCCCTATCTTTTTAAGCTACATATCACTAACCTGTCTCTCCTTCACCTAGTACTGTACTTAAAATCTCAGTTTAATAGAGTAAAACAAGACACTTATGAATAACACCAGTGAAAGGCTATTTTGTACCACTAGACCAGGGGTTCGCAAACTTTTTTTCACCAGGTACCCCCTGAATTATCAGACCAATGACCCCATTATTGAGACACTGAATATAGAATGGTACATTAACACTAATTCAATACAGAATGTTGCTGCACTGGATATTGTAAAATTGCTAAAATTGTAATTAACTGTACGTATTTCATTAAGCAGGTAAGCATTACCTGTACACTATACTGATTTTCACCAGCCCTCAATGTACCCCCTGGAAACTCTCCTGCATACTCCTGCACTAGAAGAATGTGTGCCACTAGTTGGGAGTATTTCAGCTTAATAAGTTAGTTACATACAGTGGGGTATGCTATAACGAATCTAATTGGTTCTAGAACCTTGTTCGTTATAGCATTCGTTTGTTATAGGATTAATCCGTTCCAGGTCCCCAAATACAACCACTTAACACTGAAAAATATAATTTAAAATTGTAAAAATTTTAAGAAAGTGCATAAATATGCATCTAAACCCCTGAAATAAAGAGTATCATTAATACTTGTAATAAAAAAACAATAAATTGGTAAAAAAAAAAAAAAAAAAAAAATTTAAATAATGTTCGTTGTAGTTTTGTTCGTTATAGCATTCTCAATTTTATAGGTAAAACCGTTCGTTATAGGAATATTCGTAGTAGGATCCGTTCGTTATAGCATACCCCACTGTATTAACCTATTTATAAATGCACTTATAAAAAAGTACTATACCTGTACAGTACATATGTTGGCAATAAGTGTCATTAACTTGCAGGCATAATGCAACTAGATATTGAATTAAACCAGTACATTAATGCACAACAATATATGTTCCATCCTGATGGTCCATGCTGTAAAAGTGCAATGTCCATCAAAGACCTATAGTTATTTGCATGAGGCAAATATAAGAGTAATATCCAAAGGCTAATGCAAAGTCAATAATAAAGATACTCAACAGAAGAAATATGTTCACTGAATTACCAGTATTAATCTCACCAAAAATCTGTGATATGCATAAGACTACTGTAATAATTTATAAAAGTAACCCTCATGAATATAGGGGGATAAGAGTTTTATTATTACTAAAACTATTCCCTCAATGTTTACCAGTATATTAATTATGCATGCTTGTATGGATTGGCCAGTCACGATTGTTGCACCATCAAATTTACATTCATGTGTTTTAAATTAGCTTTCCATCTTTTTTTTCAGAAACCAAATGTTTTGAATTATGCCTTCCTCTGCTCTAAATCTCACATACCCAGTTATAACCATCCCTGGCCTCAGTCCTTTCATGACACCCTGAAGGAAGCCCAATCATTCCCAGGGATGACAAGTTTTAAATGACTGTATACAACAGGTACTTTGAAATTTGTCACTAGCAATATCAAAATTATGCACTCCAGTTGCTATATTTAAAACCTATTAAAAATTTGTCAGATTATACTGTATACACATTACAGGTGGTCTGAAGACATCCTATGCACAAAACTTAGTGTGCATTTAAACATTGTTAATTTAAATTGGTAGTGGAAATTTTTTTCTAATAGGATGAGTATGATTATACAGCTACACCTCGACTTATGACCACCCGGACATACAACCGCCCCAGTCGTACCAAAATTTTTTCAAATTACGTATTTTCGAGTCCCGACGTTAGTGATTGCGCTGTGTACTGACAAAATTTTCGTTTGTAATTCCCTTTAAAATGGCTGGCATGCTTAAAAGTGAGAGTTTCGTGGTGCTGAGAAGAAAAAGAAACACCCATTTTAGATTTTCTATGTATAACTTTGCATTTTCGACTTACGACCAATTTGACTTACGACCTGGATTTGGGTCCCTAACCCTGTCTTAAGTCGAGGAGTGGCTGTATACGTATTCGTGATATATGATGAATACCTTACCATTAATTTTACAAACAGGGGATGTGTAGTCAATATTTCTGATTGATGCCTCAAAGTCTGAAGGTAATGAACCCGCTGGTAAAAGCTTGAGAAAGGTAGTGTCTGCAGTTGCATTGGAAAGAACTGTCTTGGCATATAGTCGAGAGCCATCCTCTGTCTCGACACCTACAGCTTCATTCTTGTCTCCCAGTAGTATAATTTTTACAGGCTGAAATGTTTAAATTGTTAACATATAAAACAAAATTTTACAAAGAAATGAATGTAACAAATATGAAAATGAAGAACCAGATATCTTGTTCCCTCAACATGAATATATTTTGTACAAACAAAGTAATTTTCAATCCCACAGAAGAAACCACAATAATGAAATATTACATTGTCTTTTAAAACACTCAAGTTAATGATGCCACTGACAGATCTAATACAGATGTTCCGACAAAATGTAAAGAGAGCTCAATTTCATTATCTTGGCTATATATTAATTTTCGATTAACTGAATTCACCAAAAGAGCCTTGGTAAAATGAAATAACTATAAGTAATGAAACAGTACAGTACTTATATATTTCAGTACAACCGAGCATCGCCTGCATCAGCAAAGTTTTGAAATATGTTTCTCGAACTTCAAAGTCTACCATTGGACAAAATTTTCAAATGATGTGTTTGGGAAAGATTGTACATAGGTATATCATCCATTTGTACATAAAGCTAGTTACAGTTTGTACACTGATAGATTGAAGAGGGGAAAAGGACCAACATTTAAAGTTAAATCAGTGGAGCTTTCAAGTTAAATTTCTTTAAAGTTCAAAAATTTTGGGAATACATTGCATATTTAATCAAGACATTGTTCCCTGAATCACTGAAGCCATGGGCATCACACGGACACAAGACTACATGCCTGGTTAGTAAAGAGGTGTGCTCCTGTTTCACTGGCTGCTTGTGCCATGAATTGAGTAACTGCTCCCATACCTCCTTCAGGATAACCCCAAGCACCTCGCACTCCAGACATCTGAGCCATCACATGGTGAAGCAACACATATCTGATTAAGCATACTCAAATAAATTTGAATTCTACTACCTGTACAGTATTAGTATCAAAATCTAACAGAATTGTTAATCACTTTTATTCTCCTGACTTATTAAGAATCTTCTCATATAAATCTGAATCAACAGCAGTTTTACTAGAGTAACAGTTCTTATCTTAAAAAACATACATAACAATGATATCCATAGCTAACAACTACAAAGGAGATGTACAAAATCACAAAAACATGCTGAACAACCCATAATTTCACATGCACAGAGGCTCTTATCCTGAGGGATATACTCGAGACAGTACACGCAATGCTTCAGAGCTCTACAAATGAAACTAGTACACTGCACTTGTGCTAAGAAAATATAAAGACAAAGATATGCAATACACACAATATTGCATAATTTTGTTTACTGTTCATTAGTTCATACTAAGACAGTTATCCATGCAAAAGTTAAAAATTCCCTCAGAATAATGGATACAACTAGTTAATGTCTGTCAAATGTATGTCCCCATCAATGTGAAATTATCCATGCAAAAGTTAAAAATTCCCTCAGAATAATGGATACAACTAGTTAATGTCTGTCAAATGTATGTCCCCATCAATGTGAAAACTTTTAATCACACTCAAGCACATACTTAAATAATGTGTGGAAAGGGAACATAGTACTGTACTTACATAGTAACCTATACCATTTACTGTATATTCAGATATTCAAATCAAAAGCAATTCTTAAGAGAATACATAAATCTGGTACCTATACAGTACAGTACTGTACATGAATAAGCATTTACATAGTGGATGTTGACAATGTCATATATATATACAGTATTTGCATTAGATTTGTCTGTTAAAAGAAAGCTACTTGTGTCTTACCCGCTGCCTGGGGTGTTTGGGCTCATCATCGCCCCAATAACACTATCTGTGGCTAATGTGGCCTTGAGTGGCTCCGACTCCAACCATCGGTCTAGGATCTTGGTAGTGGGTGCTGTCATCAGCTCATAAAACTGAGGAAAGTCTTTCCCCAGAATAGAAGCTAGGGAATAAAAAATTAATCACAAATTTCAAACAGATGGATAATATTGAAAACATATTGAAAACCAGTACACATTTCAGTAAGCTTTCAATCTAGACCTCAAATGCCGAAACGATAAAATGCCTTTTCTCTGGATACTGAAAACTAAAGTTTTTAAAGCATAAAGATTGTCTATATTACAGAGAAAATGCATATAAAGACGATTTATAACTTTTGGGCACAACGGAATTGATGTTTGAAATAATTTAATACAGTGCAGTCCATACAAAATATTTAAAAGTTTATTAATTAACACTAATTACTAAAATGTTAATATTTAGAACCCAGATCCTAAACCAATAGGTAAAAAGAGTACAGTATATCACTTACTTGCAAACAAATTAACTGTGACCATTCATTTTATACACGGATCAAATTCACTTGTACACAGCTCAGCGCACTGTCCAAACAGGCCTAAAATGTGTAATTCCCACCAACTCCCCTATAATTTTACGCTTTAATGAGTCTACTGTGTGGAGAATGCAGCAAAGACTAAATGTGGGCAAACTTAGAAAAATTATAGCAAAGATTGCCTTTAAATGCATAGCAGCTGCAACATGATGCATTGGAATAAAAACACACAGGTTGAGGCTTCCTGACATCCAATATCTCCACGCATCTTATCATGCACATGTAAATATCTGCAACCCACAAACTGCAGCCTCTATACTAATCACTGTAAGGTTTTTAGCTGTAATAATAAATAATACCCAAACAAAATAACTTAATCTAAAAATGTCCGAGCCCCCCCCCCCCCTCCTCCTCCTTTTTTTCAACGTGGTGTGGGAATCTTGGAGGGCCTCCCTTGGAGCCTCAGTACAGTCCTGACTCTGTCATAGTGGAGTGTTGGCGGTATAGCAGTAGTGTGTGTATCTTCACTTCCGTGTCCTGAGTTCAATTCCCAGTCTAGGGCAGATGAATGAAGGGTGTTACCCAGTGTTACCCAACCAAACATTGCAGATGGGAGGTATGAAACAAAAAATTAAGGAAGAAAGATTCAGCTGGGAGGTATGAAAATGCAGAATAAAGAAAAGTTGTTGATGTAACAAACAAAAACAAAAGTCAAATTACCGTAAACAAAACAATATACCGTATACAGAACTTATACGGTGGGAAGACACGAGTAGCAGGTCACCAGCTGATGCTGCATTATGAATAGACTTAAAATAACTGTAAAATGTCTTAAAGGTAATGTCCCTATTGGTGTCCAAAGCTAAGTAATCTAATCTATAAATAAATAAATAAATGGCAAAATAACTAATTACAGTACACAAAATAAAAAAATAACTCCTACCAGCCTTTACAAGTGGGCCAACAGTGGAAAGTTGTTTGGCTTTTCCAGCAAGTCCTGTTGAGAAAAACTTTTTAATATCTGGAGGAGGACAGTCAAGTAGATGATCAAGGGCTTCTGCAAATCTACCCAGCAGTGATTCAAGCTGTGGCATCATCTGTACAGAAAATACAAATTAACAACTTGAAATGCTAAACAATTACTACCAGCCATAACCAGAACCTTTATTGGTTTATTGAATACTCAAGTTAAAGAGGAACTATATCTGCCCCATTCAGGAACTTGATCCCCTGTATCACCAGCAGGTTTCACTTTAAATCCCATTGAAGCCACTTTCAACAATCTTGGGTCCTAATTTCAGACTGAAAAGTACAGTACTGTATACGTATATACTTCCTTTATTTACTGTTGTATAAAAGATCCCCCAACTCTCAATCATTTACTGTATTTTACTTTCCTGCGTTTCATTTAAACTCCAAAAAATCCCAGAACAGTATAGTACTGTACTGTACTGTAGTTTCCAATTTTTGACAAGAGCAAAACTACAAAATAAAGTAGGTAATGATTCAAAATTATCAGTGTAAGACAATAAATATAAATGACTACAAATAATGATACTGTATCCTAAAGTTGTAGACAAGTTACTGGTACAATAACACTTAGTTTCTAAAGGCATTCACATGGCTGTACTCTATACTGTACATGTAGAAGTTTTCTAAGGTGAAGTATAGTACAGTATTAGGGTAACCAGATTATGAATCCCCCATTAAACAGACCTCTGCATCCTTCTTTGAGAACTGTGCTATCTGCTGGTAATTCTGATCTTCATGTGGTCCAAGTATTAGTGATTTTCCATAACCACTCTGCCAGTTCCTCTCGTGCAGGGGTGTATACGAACTTGGGTCTCGAGGATACACCTTCAAGCCGCGGCGCTAAGAGGAGTAACAACAAACCATTACACGTAAATCTTTTCACTAAAATATTCTCACATTGCACCTTTAATTTGCATTACACAACCCCTATTTCCTATGCAACTCACACATTACATGAGACATAACTCACCTGCCCTTACCAAAGGCTCAATATACTAAAAGATGTACCTTGCCACCCCGTCGTAAGTCGAGGAGAGACTGTATGTATGTGTGTGTGTGTGTGTGTGTGTGTGTATGTATATGTATGTATGTATGTAAATATATATATATATATATATATATATATATATATATATATATATATATATATATATATATATATATATATATATATATATATATATATATATATATATATATATATATATATTATCTTCCTTTCATCTTACTTTGAGCTCCAAGTCATCATACACTTTTGGTCTCAGTAACCCTAGAACATATGATGCTCTAGAAAATTTAAATCCAGGAATAATCTCTTCAGTCACAGCTGCTCCACCTAGTATGTGCCGTCGCTCCAGCACACACACACTTTTCCCTGCCTTTGCCAAGTAAAATGCTGCAACAAGTCCATTGTGACCTGTCAAGAAAAGTTTATCTTAATCATAATAAAATATTTATTTGTGCATCTTCAATCTTATATAAAAAAAATAGATATACTAATGCATTGTACTGTAATAAATACAAATAAATCAGTGCAAAGATACCAAAATATTCTTGAACACATACTAAGAACATTGAATTTGTATTTTTCTCGATTTAACCATGAAACTTTTAATGGTCTACCCACTCCAGAAAGGTCACAAAATATCTACTCAGTTCCTTCTATTCATAGAGTAAGAAATAAGTTTTCTTCTATAAAACATTTCCCTAAAGTAGCTCGTTCCCAAGAGTCTGACGTCTAAAGTATTACTAACAACTCATTTATTACAGTATTACACCACTGTATACAGGAACATGCCGAGAACCTTCGCATGGGAGGTTTATGATTGTACACTAACTTAATATGGCTGGTGCTTTAGGCCTTTACTTTACTCTACAATTATTTTTAGTTCTCCTTTGGAGACGAGTTTGGTTAAGTCAGAACCACAAGAATTACTAATACATAAAAATATAAATGTCATGATCATTATAAGACATAACATAATATAACCAAAGTCCTAACCTAACTAGGGAACTCTGTCAGATTGGTAAACCATTCAATGTGTTTTTGTAAATAGCACTGCTGCTATTGAGATTTTCATGGCCCTTTGTGGTCCAGAAACTTCAGTAGTGTCCAAAGGTGGTACTTACTGCCATTAATGTGAAGATAAACACGTTTTGTTTTCACAAAAAGATACAGAATCGTCAAGAAAAAGGTAAGGTTAGGGCAGATTTGGATAGGTTAGGTCATGTTAAGTCAGATTTCGTTTTACGTTACAGTAGGTTTAGTCTTTTTGTTAAGCCTGTTTTAGGCATGTTTTCACCCCTCAATTCGCCTCTACTTCATAGCCCTGGCCACTTTTGTGTGATCAAAATTGTTATTAGCTGGGGGAGCATATCCCCAAACTGGTCATTCCATCAGACATGAAGGTCAGACTCGAGTGTGTAAAACACCAGAAAACCTATACAGTATTTGTTAGTAACTTCTCTGGGTGTACCCTACTGAAATTTTACCCCAAACTACCCTATCTTCCCTTTAGCAGGAATAATTTTTCTTGTTCCTTAAATACATTACATTAGAACATTCCCTCATTAAGCCTCTATTACTTCGTTATCTATAGAGCTCGTTTATCAGTTCAAAATGTCTAGACTACGAACTTGGAAATATATAATTGGCTTAAAAGCTTAAATACTGAGCAATTAGTGATAACTCACCTCCTCCTACAATAATGGCATCATACTTCCTTCCACTTGTCAGTACCGAAGAGTGACATCTCCGGGTTTGTCCATTAATGTGGTGAAGTAACTTGGACACAGTCACCCACCTGGCCATCTTGTCTTGGTCTACTACTTCACTTGTCCTAACACTATCACTTCTTAACAAATATATAAACTTTGCTTTTCATATTGTTGTGACTACAGCTATCCTTACGGAGTTAAGGATTTATCTTTCTTTATTATTCACGTAGAATCTCATTTAAAACGTGGCTTTTACTAAAATTTATTTTTATTAACGAAAAGAGTAGCCAAGCAGCAGGGATTCGAACAATATGACGACTGAACCTTGACCCAGAACAGTTGTTGTCAGGTGGACCAGCACGTGGCCACCAGGTGTTAATTACTCTTAGGGTTTCTTCTATTCAATCCTTTCCAAAGTTACCGCTGAATCTCGATTAATCCTCTAGTTATTAGGGATTTTTTAAACCTAGGCCGAAATCTTAAGAGCAATGTTGTTATTATTGTGGTAACCGATAAGCCACAAAATGAATAATTTTGTCACTAACCATGGTGTTATATTGGTTGATCCATCAGTATAGAATACTCTTTGTCAGATCCCACTGAGTCAACCCTAAAAATTAATCTGGGTGAACTATAAACTTTAGTCTTACCACTAACTTAGCAAAGAGCTCCTCATAGATGCGTTCAGCAACTAGAGGCTTCTTAATTTTTCTCCACCGGTTGTTAACCATTACAGCCTTGTGGGTATATACTGGTTATGAACCACAGCCAGCATATGCACATGTGGCTGTTATGGTTAACAACTAGTCTCTTTTATAAGGATGGGCAAGAACGACACATGCACAACTAACGTGAGCATGTACTGGCGCCAGTGTTGGTCACAACACATTCTATCAGTTTGTTCCATGAGTTTACAATTCTCATCCAGAAAAAGTTTGCCTTCGCAGTTTCCTGGACTTGTCAACAGTGTGTAACAGAGTGTCCAATCGCCCAAGCAGCTAATAAGCCAGTTAGTGGCAAGAGAATAAAGTGAAGGGGGAGGATCACTTTACAGGGTGTGTGTTATACTTTATGGGGGGCAACATTCTTTACCAGGCGGTGCGAGTCACTATAAGTGTGGCATGACTAATTTTATGGGGAGCAATGTACTTTACGAGGGGTCGCAACTTATTTTATGGAGCTTGAATTCCTCTATGTGGGGCACGACTTACTTCACAGTGGGATGCAGCTTATTTTACAGTAAGGGAGGGCACTTATTTTACAGGATTAAAGGTCTTTGTATGGGAGACAAATTTTACAAGAGGGACGCAACCCATTCAGCTCAACTCAAACACTCATCCTTCCTACACAGCTGGTGATGAACCTGTGGGGAGACTGCTATATTCTTAAAGCAACCTGACAAAAACACAACCTCCTCTTGCCCTACTCCCATTTGTCCCCCCTATCCTGTACTTTACTTAACTTCATTACCTAAATTAGCTTTCCTCACACCCTGCAAATCCTCATGTCATCACTTTCCACAGTTCCCCAGGGGCCACCTCATCAAGTGCTGCATATTCTTACTTCTCACTATTAAATTTTGTACAGTACATGCAATTTGACAAAAAATATTTGAATTATACAGTCTCCTCCTTCCTTAAATCTTACCTGTTCATTATTTCTTGGAGTGAATTAGTAGGATACATAATCACCACAATTTCTTCTAGTTTTATTATAGCTTTGTAACTTTGCACATTATTTTACAGAATCCTTTTAAGGAAATACAAAAAGCTTCTATATACAGCACTACAACACATACGAGACACAAAAAATCATATCTAAAATATCTCTGCAGTTCTAATAATTTATCTCAGGTAAAATGACTGGTCTCAAAACCTTAACAGCAAGAAACCCAATTTGTGCTTCAACCCATAAAATAAATTCATTAATCCTGATTAGGAAGAGACCTCCCAGGAAAATTTGTTCAATGATGTTTACACCCATTATGTATGAGAATTGTCAACATGTAACATGCGCCATTGCTTGAGACCTTATAAAATGAGAATACAAAAATATTAGGGAGTAAATACAAGTCCTTCATGAAACTGCCACAAAAAGAGTTGCTGCTTCAAGCCATAATTTAGACACCATTACTCAATATCATCATCACGTTGGCTAGAGAAGTAGGACATTAAGCCACTACTGAATTCTCCAGGGCCCTTACCAGAAGGATGAGTGTCCTCTTTACTGTCTTCATTAGGTGATTGGTGTGCTGGCGATCCTTGGGATCCTTGATGTAAACCTAGAGGGCTTGGACCAGGTGAACCAGCATAAGGTAGGGGTTCTAATCCAGGATAGCCAGCTTTCATAACAAGATGGGGGTGACCAGGATGACTGGGAGATCCATGACCTGTAAGACCACCAGGGGTTGGCCTGTATAAGTCATGTGGAGGACCTCGTAATACTCCTGGATGTGATGGAATTCCTCTTGAGGAATATGGCCCTTGTCCAGGTCCACTAGTAAGTGGTGGTGGGCCATAGTTGGTTGGCATGCGAGGAAGCGAGTGTCCTGGTGGCATGTGGGCTGAGTGTCTAGGAGGAACTCCATGAGGACTGGGAGAATGTCTACCTGTAGGTCCATATCCAGGGAAAGCTGGATGAGCTGCAAAAAGTTCTGGTGCAGGTCTATATGGTGGAAAACCAGGTGAATGAGTTGAAGAGGTGGTTGGGGGTCCTACAGGTGGCATATTACTAGGTGCTGTACTACATGGTGGGCCACCTGGTGTTATAGGTAATGGTGAGGAACGATAAGGTGGTGGTGGTGATGGCGTTACAGGTGGACAAGAAAGTGGTGGGCGTGGTGGTGTGCCTGCACCTGGTGTAGGTCCAGTACCTACACCTGGTCTTGGAGGTGTGCCTGGGGCTCCACTCACTCCTGATAAGTGTGGAGACCATTTGCCCAAAGGCTGATGTACTGGGCTATTACTTCCTATGTTTGCTGTGGCTCCAATATTAACTGGTAACCCTTTGCTTGTAGTAACAGGTGCTGGTGTAGAAGGTGGTGTACCAACAGCAGGCTCTGGAGTTTTATGTACAGGTGAAACAACAGCAGGTGCAATAGGTACTGTAGGTGCAATGGATGCAACTGTCACCACTGGTGTAACAGGAACAGCAGTTACAACTGGTGTAACAGAAGCAGCTACAGCAGCTGTTGTAACAGGTACAGGTATAGCTGATTCAGATGGCACAGATGGTGCTGATGATAATGGTGTGGACTCTGTGAGTTTGATAGACATAGGTGGAGAAGGTTTGCCAATAAGTTCATCACCTTTCTTTGGTCGTCCCCGTTTTTTCTTTGCCTTTGCAGATTTATTTTCCTCATCTGTAAAGAGCAAGAACAGAACACAGATGTCATATGTTTGAAACTGACAACTTACTGAACATAATTACAAAAAACTTAATGAATTCATGGCAAAAGCATAATAATATTTGTGTTTTGCCTTTCCTTGCTCTCACTTTTGTGTGCAGTGGATCAATGGAAGTGCTGTTGTGTAATAAAAGTGTTGAAAGTAACAGGAAAGCTATATGATAACAAGTGGGAGTATCCAAAAATACCTGCTCATACCCTCAACTTCCATGTTCATAATACAAAATTAATCTTAACATGCACTTTGATGCATTATATTTCATTTAAATTTGCTCTAAATACTAAATGAATCATCATGTTCATTCACTGACATCATATATAAAATGACATTCCTGTTCACAATTCACAATTATTCTTTGGGTATTATCTAACATGATATCTCCAGAACTTAGTGTACATTACTCTCTCAGGGCTCCTCTTACACGAGCCTTCGGCCATGCAGTCATAAATTTTCCCAAGTAATCTTCTCACCAGCCATGTACTCAACATGTCCATACCATCTTAATGTGCTTTCAACCATTCAACTCACCACACATTAACCTTTCATTTTCATTCCCAACTACAGTCAGTGTTCCCTTAATGTACATGATGCCTTCCTGAAAATTAGTACAGCAACCGGGTGTATTATAACCCTTAAACTCTAAGATGTGTATCACATTTATTCCGACATACAGCTGGGAGGAAGAATGGCAGATATCTATTTCTGTATACTGTATTATTTTTTACCCCCGACACTCCTTGTCTTATTGGGTTAAAAGTTAGAAGAAAGTATAACGAGATAAATCAAAGACTGTGGTACAGTACTCTCAACTGCAATGACCAATTGTTCTACTATATTATATACAAAAGAAAATCAATAATGGTAACTATGTAGAACATCCATGCATGTGTGTAAATATATACTTACAGGGATGCTCAGAGCAAAATCTTTGAACACAATGCTCTAATATTTTCCATGTTTCTGTAAAACAGCAAGGTCTGTACAACTACCCATTTTTGGGGGGAATGTCTTACATAACTAAATTCATAAAACTTTATATCATACTAACCTTCCTCTTCACCTTTCATGACCTTGCCTCTCCCAAGACCACCACTGACTCCTCGACGCTTCATTCTCTCGTCGTCTGATGCTTCGTACTCGCTGCTTTCTGTTGGGACGCGCTCACCCTTCATCACCTTCCCTCTCCATTTCTTTGCAGGCTGAAAACGTATGAAACAAGGGGTGACTGAAGAATGTTTTACATGCTATAAAAGTTCAAGATGCCCAGAAAACTAATATCAATAATAAAAAGCTTAAGCTTAAAAATTTAATGCGCACACAACCTCCACAATGGAATGCTTGTTCCAAGCCTTCTGTATGGATGTGAAACTATATGGTTCTTAAGCACAAAACTTAGTAACAACAGCCTTTGAAATGAAAATGTACAATTCCTTCGGAAGGTATTAAAAGGACTGAATATATATATTGGAAGAAGTTATAGAAGACTTATGTATGAAAAGTCTAAGGACTTTATCTCCAATATTTACAAAATATACACATGGTAACTCTTGGAAACAGGAAAACACAAATTTGAAGCAATACAATTTTGATGATGTTCTTGTTTGTAGCTATACTACACAACAGAGTGCAAACACTGAACAAAATAATTCCAACTAAGGATCTTTCTTACCTCTTCTTCTTCTGTTTCATCTGACATAAGAAGAGCATCGTAATAGTTAACTTGTCTGCCTCTGGTAACTCTACGTTGAGTGACTTCCTCCTCATCGCGATCTTCTGTTTTAGGTTTTGGAGGTTTTGAGTACTTGATCTGAAAGTGTATAAAAAGTAACGTTAATTTGTTTCTTACTAAGTATTGTATTCACTTGTACAGTCTCGTTCAAGATTCTTCGAACACTGCTGGAGACAGCTGGCAACTCGAGGCCATTTGTTTACTATAGTACGTAGTATAATATAATACCAAATAACAGACCAACCATTAATTAAGCAACGGGGGAACTAAGTAACCGATAACCTTTTACATTCATTCATAATTTTTACTACGTACTACAGTGAGTTCTGCTATAACGCGTGTTTTGATAACGCGAATTTGCTCTAACGCGATTTATGAATTAGGAACGATATTTGTATAACGCGAACGCTTGTTTGCTATAACGCGATTTTTGCTTACTATTTCTCCAATTTTGTGGTATTAACTGTGAATATGGTAAAGAAGAATATCTCCAAGAAGCGTTCTGGTGATAGAATTCCCGGTGATGATCGTAAAAGAAAGGATAACACACTTGAAGAGAAGCTCGATGTTATCAACCTCAAAATCACCCTTCTCCCCCATCAAGTTACATTCATATTTTGTCAAGGTAAAGTATTACATTTACTGTATGATTTCATTATTAGATATGAATGTAACATTTATTTAGACTGTGCTATCCTTTGTGTTAGGCTAACTACTAAATTTTTTCGATTTCGAGTAATCTGCACCTAACCCTATTTTCTCCATAAACCCTGTTATTTCTATTACGCGATTTTCTATAACACGATATTTTACAAGAACACAATTATCGCGTTATAGCAGAACTACCTGTATAGTAAACAAACGGCCTTGAGTTGCCAGCTGTCTCCAGCAGTGTTTGAAGAATCTTGAATGAGACTATACAAAATAACATAAGGAAATCCTTACAGTAAAATTACTTTATATATAATTGGGATATTTGTGGCATACATACTTGCTTGACTTGTTTAAGCAGGAATAGTGTTGAGAAAATTGTAAGCAGTAAAATACTAACACAGCATGTATGGCACACGCAATTTAACTGCCATAGTCTTTTCTTTCAAGTGCGTTCCCTTCCTTCTTTCCTTAGCATGAAATGAAACCTATATACAGTAGTCTATTAGTGTTTGTAGATCATATGGACCAAGGCCCACTAGAATGGAACCCCAATTCTATATACAGTGATCCCTCGGTTAACAAGATTTCGGTTAACGATTTACCTTCCATAAGATTCTTAACTTCGGTTAACGAGCAATCCCTCAATTAACGAGTTTTTTACGAGCCACCTCAACATGTTTTCGCTTGCATTTGGCGGTGCACCAGCTGTAGTATTAGTCCGCCAATACAGTAATTGGTTTTAGGGCTTAAATTCCTTACTATTTTAGTAAATATCAAGATGTTTATACTATTCAATAATTTTAAAGTTTAATATTAAATTTTTTAGTCATTTTAACAATTATTGAACATAATTGAAGGTAAGGAAACTAGTTTCATGCGCGCCATCCAGCCTGGCAACACACCAAACAGGCGCCAGTCTCTCTGTCTTTTCAGTGGAGTTAACATCTTGCTTGAGACTCTCTTCAACTAAACGCTTTTTTTCTGTGTTTGCAAGCAAATTATTGGTCATTTTTTAATTTATTTTACATATTGACAATATATAATGCAGTGCAGTGTTGATTTAAAGAAAATAATCTTGAATTACACCAAGAATAATTAAATTTTATGGGTGAAATGGCACCATGGGGTAACTTCTCTTCCACCCCAATGCCTTCTCTTCTCCCTTCTCCTCCACCCCCATTCTAATTCCCATCATCATCATCATCATCATCATCCAGGAGCCTTATACATACACACCTCAAAGTATGTGTTCTTTTCTACCTATTTTGTTGAATTTAGGCAATTTTCCATGAGCTGGAACCAATTACCCGAAAACCCATTGAAACAATGGTTTCGGTTAACGAGCAACCTGCTAGAACGGATTGTGCTCGTTAACCGAGGGACCAATGTATTAGGTTCAGATGGCACTTAACAGGACTGAGTCCTTTTGACCTGCGTCGTGTTAGTAAATATAAATCTAATACAAACCACTTGAAACTCATGTACTTTATCAGCCATACACCAATGGTTGGTAATATATATCTATCTATATATATATATATCTATATATATATATATATATCTATATATATATATATATATATATATATATATATATATATATATATATATATATATATATATATATATATATATATATATATATATATATATATATATATATATATATATATATTCATGTAGATCCAGAATGAAAACGCGGATAAGATAAATCTTGATAACATCACACGGGAAAAGGGAAACAACGGAGCACCTTAGCTTTCGTCTTTATTCAACTTACTTATCTATTGGGTCTGGTCTACCAAGGAGTTCAACCTTGGTAGACATTGCTCCCCTAGGACTGAGGGATCATCAGGAAGGTGTCAAGTTGGGTCTTAACTCTTTTTCAGTCTTGCCCTCGTCTATTTGTATATAAAAAGAGAAGTTCAAAGCCATAAAACACCATCATCATCATCATTATCTTCATCATCAAAAAGAAAAAAGTAAATCTTGGTTATCAGCTGCCGTTTCCTTAGTGGTACAATATTTTGGGGAACTACGTCTTTCCAGCCTCTTCCTGGGTTTACAAGTTGTTTTTAGACTCAAATTAAACTTAATCATCATCATATTCCTGTATCAGTAAATTCAATCAATATTATTATCTATTTCTTCCCATATCGCTGGACATTTTCATCTATCAGACACACAGGTATCACTCAAGGCTGCCATATGTGCATTCAAATAAAAGTACTTTCACCGAGGTGTTTGTAAGGTCACTGAGAAGCTGTGAAATTTCTGAGGGTGAATTATTACTGCTAGAGGTATAATGTATGGCATCATCATTTAGCTCATGGTTGTTCCCGGATATTTGAAACGGCAGGAAGCATCAGTCCGTATATCATACACGCATAGGACTCGGGTCCCAAATGTGTGAGGTATGTAGGAAGGAATGAAAGGGTTAAGTCTCTAGTTTTTATATTGCTATGAATGGAGACAACTGCTCTATCTCTACCAGGAAAAGGTTGAACCACCACAACCCATGGTACATTAGACAGTCCTGGTGGTGCCTCTTGACCCATTTGGGGTACAGTGTGTATAACGGACTTGGCAGTGGCATGTAGTCCTGTCATCGGAATGTGCTCGATCACAAACTTGGGATTACAGATAAAGGCACTGAGGGCTTTCCAGACAGAGAGAATGGAGCACATTATCTCTTGGCCTCCTTCCTCGGTTGAGAACATGGAGATTTAACCAGTCGTCTAGATGATTTAGTCCAGACAGGCCACAGATGCACCTAGTGAATGCTCTATGGAAATTGTCTAGGAGAGAGATGGTGGATAAAAACCCCAAGAGGACTGATAAACTCAAGGTGAGGGTATATCAACTGTTTGCACTGGGTAAGTATTATGTGCAGTCTTTTTTGGAGAAAACTTGAAAGATCCAACACCACCATTTTATTGGCCCACCTCACAATGCCTGAATCACGGAGGGAACTCTACTGAACATTGGTGGAGGTCTGTCTGCTGTGATGTCTGTAGCACAGCATCTCTATCTTAGTTGCAGTGAACATACTCCCCAAGTCACTTGAGTAGAAAGTGTCTTGGTCCACAAAAATGATCACCAAATTCTCTTTGCCTAATATATTTACCACACAAGTAGAGTAAAAATAATAGGGCAAGGAATATGATGTTTACTCATTCACTAATATCCCCAATTCAAATGAGGAAGAGAATAGGTCCAATGATTGAACCTTGAGATACCCTCACAATGTTTGACTTTGTGCCATCCAGTAAGACTGCCTCTGATGGGCCAGTCATGTACTGAGTTTTCCTATATTTTTCCCCCCACCGCTTTAGGATGGATTTATGGTTGCTCCTGTCACACTCTTTAGCATAATCCAAGTACACAGCATATAACATTCAAATAAAGTAAATTAATCACAGATTTTGAAGGTATTAAATGTTTTCCATTTGTTGTCTAGTTGATTATCACTATGGAAAAGAAGAATGCTAGCCTGAAGCAGTTAGAAAACTAAGTTACAGATCAGATGATGGTGGTGGGTATATATGTCTTGCAAGTGGATGGTCCACAATTCATTTTCCAGCTGGATTGAAAGACTGGGCTCCTTCCTTGTACCTTTACATAAGTAGAAATTACTTACATGCATTTGCTGAGGCTGATACAACCCTTTGGTGTATACTAGCATCCTGCTAAGGGGGATGGGGGTAAACCACAAGCTGCTGAATACAAATAATCAGGAGATCAGCACCTGGCCAACCACCTGCCATCATTGGGAAAGACTTAAAAGACTGGGAGAAGATAAAATATATTACAGTAACACTAACTCTAGGTTTTGAAGGTTTCTTCTCCTCTTCTCCATCCTCTCCTGTTTCTTTTTGGGGTTTGGGTTTTGACTTTCCTTGTTTCTTTCCACCTTTACCCTTGCTGCCCTTTTTTCCTTTGGATCTTGCTGGTGGTTTCTTTTTTCGGGTCCTGTTAGAAAATTTTTATATAAAAGTAGGTGGCTGTGTGGAGAGAGCAGCATCAAAAGGAAAATGATGAAATCAGTACGCTATTTCTATGGCACGATGTGCCTGCACTACCTCCGAGAATTCTTGACTACGGAAATATATTGGAAGATAGTGTTGCAACATAACCCCAAAGTACCAAAACATGCAAATTTAAGTACTTACATTAAACATTGCTATAAAATTAGCTAGTACATGTACTGTATTCGAATGTCCACAAAAAAAAAAAAAAAAAAAATGAAGATCCAGGATATGCACAGCTTAAGAAAGTGAGTCACAAGAATTTTGTATGGATCACATCCATAAGAGGACATAAATACACATTAAATACATTAGTTACATCTTTACAGGTTGCAAAGAAAAATTGCAGACATGGAACTGCAGACAAACAAGCATACAGGGTATTACTACAGGCTTCCTGCAGCTTTGATGTAGGGCCCTAACAACATCCTCGGCATAACCTTCCTTAAATAACACAAATACACCAAGATAAATCATACTTACACTTTCTTCTTCCTCTTATAACTCCTTTCACTATCTGAACTTATTTCTTCCTCTTCCTCTTCACTTGAACTTTGTCTTCGTCTCTTCTTCTTCTTTTTCATTTGTTTTTTAAGATATCTCTCATCTATGTCACTGTCTGTAAGATATATGCCAATTTGAGAAGGTTCATGTGCATCATGTGAAGGCTCTACAATGACTTGATACATTACTTCCATCTAGTTTTATGTTTATTGCAGTCACATAGCATGAAGTCTTTTAAAACTTTGTCTAATTATTAATATCAGTTAGTTTGATAAATAAGTGCATTAACTTATAGGAGTGTTTAGCAGTACTCTTTACATTGTGAAGGACATAACTGAAAAACATACTATTAACTGTGGAAACCCAAAACCATTTTGACAACAAGGAAATTCCAAATATCAAAGATAACAAAAACTAGGAATTGTAATGGCACCTTCCAAAAGTATTGCCTACACAAAAATAGTTAATTTGTCATTATCCAACAATGCAAACAAGTGCACTTAAGCACAAACTTCCTGGGAAAGTCTTTGGGAAGGACTATATATCCAGTATTATCATGGCTAGGATAAACCAATCCTAGTCATGTTATGCCCTTATATCGAGTACCCTGCAAGAGAAAGGACCTACAGGACAGGTTGCAGCTGTGGCCTCTCATATCTGCTTTTTAGGAATATTTGGGAAAGAGTAGCTACTGGTGTAATGGCTAACCTTCAGATTAAGGCTCAGACAATAAGTTTATGGGTTCCCTGGGTTCAAACTCATATGGTTTGAAAGAAATTAAACATAGAGCACTCCAAATAGGGATCAGGTTATAAATTGCAAGGCTAGCTATGCTAATAAACTCACCTTCGTCATCAGCCCTTCTGTTACGAGCTGACCGGCGGAGTGGGAGGGTATCCCATCTACCGCCTCTGCGTCGTTTCCCTCCTACAACATCTGAGTCATCGCTGTCCATTTCAGTGTCAATAGATGATGAAGACTCTGCAGACTCCTCAGATTCCTCTTCCTCCTCCTCACTGTTCATAAATTAAGACATGGTAAAATCATGTTCTGGATATGAGGAAGTGTAAGCGTGCGTGTGTGTGTGTGTGTGTGTGTGTGTGTGTGTGTGTGTGTGTGTAATATTTGTACTTGTTGTCTTAGCACTATTTGGTGGCTTTGAACACTTTATTTTGCATTACCCTTTAAGGCAGTTATAACCTTTGATCCATCACACTCAAAAGTGAGTATATAAATGACCAGACTCCACAACATGTGATTTCTGGAGAATTACATGCTCATGATTGGTGATGTTGGCTTGTGTGAAGCAAGGTTTGGAACCTTATCATGGAAGTAGAGTCCCAATGCAGAATAAGATATTTTTTAAGAAGTAAGAATGAACAAATGAATAACACTTAATGAAGGAAAAAAAATGTGTGCATGTATTTGCTCTGATTCCCCTCCACTCTACATTAATGCCCAAACTGTTTCTTTTATCAACTTACATGCTACTGCCAACTGTTAAGTGACTTTTGATATTAAAGTAATGAGATTTAACAAGTGAGGCTTCAGTATAACATTTATTTGGACTAAAAAAAATTTTGGTTTGAAAAAAGAAAAAAAAGAAAAAAAAAGAGAATTACCTTGTGTTCATAAAGTCCTCATCACTGGCATCATCATCGTCCTCAGCATCAAGGTCTGTGAGTCGTCTCCTCTTTTTAATAGTAATATTCACAACCTTTCGTTCCCGCTTCCTTGAGCTTTTAATGTCATCTTCTGATTCTGACTCGTCTTCATTTTGCTGCAAGAACAAACATGAACATTTTCACATACATTTTTTTTGTAATAAAGAAATTAATAATGTTCTGAGTTAGTATTCATGATGCTTTTGTATTAAGTTTCTTCAACACCAATTGTATTATGATTCTACTTCTATGAACATTCTAAAATCACCAACAAGTGAACCTAAAGCTACTGAATCTTTTAAATCTAAGCCAAATGATGTCATCCATATCTGTACTCTCTCACCCCTTCACTTTCTTTGTAGTCATCATCGTCACCACTTTCCTTTGATCCCTTCTCCGCCGGCTTTGGTTTCTTTCTTTTGGGAGCAACGTCTTCATCATCGTCATCATCGCCTTCTCTCTCTCTCTTTCCTTCTCCATCATCTTCCTTTTTGTTATCTTCTATTTTTTTTTCGTTCAATGCATTCTCATCTTTCTCCCCTTCCTCCTCCTCTACTCCTCCTTCATCCTGTGCTTCATATTTAGGTTCTTTTTCTTCCCCCATTTCTTCATCATTTGCCTGAATAATATTTTCTATATCTTTCCCTCTTCCAGCATTTCCAGCGCCGGCAGCAGCTTCCATTTCATCCTATTCATGGAAGGAATAATGTTTTAATGATTATGATAATGTATAAAGTGGTAAAGTTATTTTTAAAACGTAGTGTGTGTGTTCGCACGTGCATGGATGGATGGGTGGGTGGGTGCGTGCAATGTGTGCGCGAGATAAAGTAATATGTATGACCACAACAATATTAACAATTGTCTATGGAAGTTCTAACCAAGGTATAACTGTGTAAATTGAACATTTCAGGAAGGTTAAAGTATTCTTGTAAAGAGTTTTCATATTAGAAGTCTAATGAACCAATTTAAGGAATCAAATTAACTTCTTGGAAACTTACTCGTATGGCCTCATTGATCATCTCATCAAAGTCTTCCACTTGTTCTTTGAGAGTGCGTGAACTGCGCGCTCTTAAAGTGTACAGTGGTGCTGTGGAGTCTGAAGAGGACTGACTTGATGATCCACTGCTGTCATCAGTCTCACTGTCGGAATCCTGAAATTATAGACCATTACAATAGTTTACTTTCACCTACTCATTCTATATAATTACACTTGAGTATCAGGAATCAGAAAATAAATTTTCTGAAATAACAAATTTTTCAAAATGTTTTCAGATTCATAATTCCCTTCAAATCTTATCTACTGATCTAGCCTAGGACACTGAGCTGAAGGCATGTTTGTACTATATCCACCCAACATTATAGTACAAAAAGGTTTTGAGGACAAAATTTAACCTCTCAGTAAAATACTATGGGTGAATTTTGTGACCTTATTCTTATTCCTTAAACAAACTTTTATTTGATGGTTAACTACTTTTTCTCTTTGTCTTTACTCTGTGAATGTTTGGCTGGCCTTATGGGCATGGGTCACTCGTTATCTCACAAAATACACACAAAAGAGGGTAAAATATCACATCATCATGTAAGTGTGTGATTGCAATAGCATGGGGAGAGGGGATACAGGGGAGAGTGAAAGGGTCCCTGGGGAATAAGGTGACCCATAGACCAAGCCTATTCACTAGCATCAAAACTCGAGAAAAATTAATTGTAACAAAACATGTACAGGCAGTTTCTGGGACGGGACCAGTGTGGCAGACGAGAGTTTTGTTGAAGTAACTCCTCTCTCTTTCTCTAGTGTGTGTAATATTCACAAGTGCAGGACATACATATCAATAATGCATTAAATCATGGAAGCACTTACTTCTGAATCAGAATCAGACCCTGACTCATCATCATCATCATCGTCATCTTCATCTTCCTCACCACCTCTGTGCTTCTTCTTCTTTTTCTTTTTCCCGTCTGGTAGAACATTAGAGAGAGACACATTGACATATGCAATTCTTTGCCTTCTTAGTTCTTCATTATGTGCTCTCTTCTGACACTCATCAAACTCATGTAAAAGAGCTTGTAATTTATTTACAAGTTGTACCTGAAAAGAAAGATATATTAGCACTTTGTCCTCATTTTATTTAACTAAAACTAATTTGGGCAATGCTATCCTAAGACTTAAATCTCTCATTTAACAACTCACTAGGGTAAAGGGTAACTGGTGAAAACTGGTGTTAGAGTTTGTCAGGAAAAAATGGGTATCCAGTAACACAGGACCACATCAACAATGTGTAATGTCACTAATGATCAAAATTTTCATGGGTGGTGTAGTATGAGGAGAGAGTATAAATAATGGAGGGATGCAGAAATTTGTTAAATAATAATACAAGATGTATATGAGAGGTAAGTTATATGCTGCTTACAGATGGCACAGTTTGAAAGGGATATTCTAGTGTTTCTTAAGGTTTAATATCAGGCAAAGACAATCAATTAACTGATGATAACTTCAAGTTTCCCCCACCCTCAATAGATGGCAGGATGGGCTGTCACAAGCAAGCATCTAGACAAACTATGTATGATTTGCGACAACCTAAATTCTATTATGCCATCACTTTAAGTTTGAACGTGTAGTCTAGAAGTAACTGTTCATACTCAAAGTGAAAGCATAATAGAATTTAATGGACACCACTTTTATTATCGTACTTGGCTAATACCAGTTAATTTTGTCTGGTAGAGAGGGGACCCCATACACAAGTGATCAAAATATGTTTTGATATGATGGAATGTGTATTTAAGGAAGAAAAAGTGGTGTCTAAACTAAATTGTTTGGTGTATGTTATAGGGCTGCAATCCTATACCCAAGTTATATCAATAATAATATATGTACTATGAGGAGGAATCATATTTACATGTTCACAGGTTGGGCACACCCAGTCTCCCTCAGGAACACTAAGAAGAGGCGGCCGCAGACAGGAGAGATGCCAGCCAGCGTCACAATTATCACACAATAAAATAGTTTCGGGGTGATCATCATGGCCACACTTCGTACACTGTGTTTGATCCTCTTCCTCCTCCTCTTCCTCATCATCTTCATCCTCTTCTTCACTTTCTGTAGTAACTGAAAGAGATTTTAACAATGATAGCAAATGACTGGTGATCAAGTTATTAATATATAAATAGCAGTAAAAACCGAACAAAACTAATTTACATCTGTTGGGTAGTTTCTTAGAGTAGCACTAAATAGTAAAGAAAAAAAAAGAGAGAAAGACAGATTAAATGAGTGCCATCTTGATAAACACTGTCTACCTCTCCCCTCATATCTTCAAATAACTGTTGTTCATTATACAATGCAAACTTGCTTTTATTCACAACACTCTGGGCTATCTGATAAATACCAGTAATATTAATTTTGGAAGAAAGCCAGAAACTTCAGTTGTGTACTGTAGTGTAAATATATTGTAACCACTGTGGTGAATTTTTAATTGGGAAATGCATGATGTGGGTTATTGTTTAGATCACTACCCAGTTCAGACTCCAACTGGCCCAAGCAGTGCCCGGAAACCTCACATCCACCACGTGTCCAATCATTCATGTACTATTCTCTCAGTATATCTTTATATCATCTCTGCTCAACCACAGTTTGTGCCATACAATATCTATTTGTGGTCTTGTGACACTTTTAGTGTTGTAGCAGTAAGCATATCAAGATAGGTGAAAGTAATATATGTAACTAAATGCACTATATTGCCCACCTCCAAGTCTTCCTGCACCTCATTTTTTCATGCACATTTGTGTGGTGTGCTCAGCTGCCATGTGTACAGGACACTCACCACCAGAGGAAATTCTGAAGATGGACTACATACAGTAAATCCTCTATTTACTTTAATCCTAATTATGTCATTTCACCTGACTGTCACTAACATATTACAAAACAAATTCAGATTCAAAATGTGCCATTTAAAAGTAAAGCCTTTTCTACAAACTCACTGCCGTCACTACTTTGAATAGCCTCTACAAGCAATTCTTTTTCTGCCATCTCTGGTTAGTATGAAAATCTATTCATTTAGCACACATCATATTTCTATGTATAAAAAGACTTTGTTAAACTTGATACGGTATTTATATATTCCCATAATAAAAATAAGAGATAACAAAAAATCATATACCCTGTACACATTTGCTCATAACTGCATCTCTGTCAGCCTGATGTTATCAGCTGTTTTGTTTCTGTCCAGTGACATTAATTAGTAGTTTCTTAACAACTGTTGTTCACCTTTGTTTCCTTTTACAAATGTGTAACAAATTAACAGTTAAGGAAAGAAAATTGCCAAGAAAACACCAAAGAATTAAATTAGGAAGGATGCCCTTACTCCTGTACACAGCATTACAGCGAGGGCATCACACAGTACAGTACATAAACTCTGACTTTAATAAATAAATTCTTCAATACTTACTGGGGGTTCCTTCTCTGTGCAAATATATGGTATTAGTTATGATTGTTTAGACTTATAACAAAAAGTATCCCTTCTGGTAGTTATTTTAAACCTTTTTTACAAAATATTACCAAAAAATAACACAAGAAACACATCCTCTATTTATAACGTTACTTCTATGGGAAAATATAAATAAATTTCTGTCATTTCACCTAATGTCCTGTTTTTGAGGACTGCATCCATAACATAAATAGAGGACTTACTGTATTCAACTCACATTCCAGTAATCACCATTGTATCTTCCTATTGAGTACAAATGACCTTCATCCCTAAAAATTCTAAAACAATTCATCAAACAAGAGATCTTAAAAATGCATACATACACACACATACATTATACACTACGGTATTGCAAAAAAATAAAACAAAATAAAAATAAAATAAAAAATCTGACCACTTATCCCTCAACATGGGTGTCATACTTTACCTTTATCCCCTAAAAAATACCTCGACCCCTTTTTCATCTATAGCTTCACTTCAACTACTACAAAAAAAGTGCTAACTAAAAATCTTGACACAGTTTTCCAGAAATAATATTTATTCTGCAATAATAATAATAATAATAATAATAATAATAATAACAACAACAACAATAATAATGATAATAATAATAATAATAATAATAATAATAATAATAATAAGAACAACAACAATAATAATGATAATAATAATAAAGGTAAAACAATAAGTCCCCACCTTTAGTTTAAGATGTATTCCTCTTCCTACTCCTCCTATTCCTTCACTTTCATTCTTCCTTCTCCCATTCTTCCTTCTTCTTCCACTCCCCCTCCTCCTCCTCCTCCTCTTCCTAACAACAATGGGTAAGACTTTAAGTCTCCCCACTAACAGTTAGGGCAGTTAATAAAAGCTATGCATATCAAATTGGTAAAAAGTATAATGGCAGAATCAATGAAAAAAAAAGATGTACTTAACAGTTACAAGAAAAAATGGAGGAATGATCCTGAAATCCTTTTCCATGACTAAACCTGAAGCTGGGCAGTGCTAACTGTGTGCACCTTGCCATGGTGTTACTGCCCAAGTCACTCTCAGCTATAGTGGCTGGAGATTGGTTTATCAATCTTCCATCCCTCCTTGATACAACCATTGCCCTAAAAAGATTGGAAGTGAAATTTGCCCTTGAGAGTCAGGAGGTCTAATAAGAGCCAATGCCTTGTTAACAAGAAGAAACTTTCTTCTTAGCTGATGGGCTATTTCAAGCTAACCCTCTATGACCACCACCATTAAGTTTCTAACTGGCTACCAATAACCCAAAGGGAAGAGAGTGTGCTAAAAGTTGCCCAGCTACAGACTTGATCATAAAATGGATTTACAGGACCAAGCCTCCACTTATGACCTGATGTCCTACCATGGGAAGCTCTCAAAACTGCTGTCAGCTGGAAAAGGGAGGCAGAGGTACTATAGAAACAATTCAAATGTTAGTGAGACAATGTAGCCATGTAGGAAAGTTAAACTAATTTCATATGGAGGACAGATCCTGAGGACTATTGATTCATAAACTTTGCTGTCACTCAGCTCTTAAATGTTACACTTAAAACCAGGGTAATCACTGTCTCACATAAATCTATAGCCACCCTTACATAGGTATCAGGTCATTCCTTCAATGATATCAAAGAACCAAAGAGTTACAAGTCATGCAGCTGTACCAGAAGCATACAGTAGGGTATTATCAACTTAATTACTGAAAACTGAGGAAGCTCCACACTCTGAACCAAAAGCCCAGAACCCAAGCAAAGTAAATTGAGGGATACCTAGAAAAACAACCAAGGAAAAGGACAGAAACAAGTTTTTTCCAACCTGTTCAAATAACCCCAGTAAGTGAATTACAATAAGTTTCAGACAGCAAGAGCAGAAGAGGAGACTAAAATCTGAGAGGCCAAAGGGAGGTACCAAAGAAATTGTCCCTTGCAACTACAGTATTAAGCTTCCTAACCTCTTTCATTCTTCAAGTGAGGGGAGGGCACAAACAACCAGCTCCCATGAGATCCAATCCAAAGAGATTTTATCAATCCCTCCAGAGCCCTCCTGAGACACAGGAAAAGACAATAAAAGTTAGCAATAAGCTAGCACTGAACATACATCCTTCAAAGGTTAAAACCCATAAACAAAAACCAAGAGAAGGATTCCTTATCCACCTCAATTTGGCCACAAATGCCAAGGGTCTTCAGGACCTTATCCCAATTCCAAGGCCACAAAAGCACAAGTTACTTTATAAATGTTACAACATATACTTATCATTAATGGCCATAAATTATTATTATCACAACTAATAAGAGTATGGCTGAGAATGGCACAATACTTACCAGTACAAGACCCCCATATTAACCTTAAAAATCTCTCCTCATCTTGAGCAAGCCAAAATACAGTCAAAATTGAGGGATAGATCCTGAAAACCCACTTTATACTACAGCCAGTGAGGAGTGACTCATTGACATTTACATTCAAGCTTCTGGGGTTTCCCCAGTGAGCCCCTAAACTTTTGCATCTGGTGGTCATCCAAAGGTACTTACAACATGGTGCCAGTCTGGCGCTACCAGCAAATCACTGCCAACGATCAAAATGGGAGGAAGTGGAAAGAAGCTTACTGTTATGCAGCACTCACACCCTAATGGGAAGTTTACTCTTCTCAAAAAAGCAAAACTGCACCAAACTTACTAACTCCCTTTTTCCCAATGCAGAATTCTTGTGTTGCCTTTCGGTATCAAAATGAACACCCAAACATAGAGACCCAAAAAAAGCAAGCCATTTAAAAATGAGACAAATTCATTCCTGCTCTCCAAATTACAAAAAGGAGGAGGAGTGGATGCACAGTTATGACCAACAAAATACTGTACCATAATACTCAGCCATAATTGCGAGGCAGCATGCAAGAGATATCATAGGTTATAATATCTGCATCACCAGCAATGGGGAAGGGAAAAGCAGAAGGCTTTGCCCATCTACATTATTTGTTTATCCAACTGTTACACTTCTTTTTATGTAGTAACTTTAACAAGTGATCAGATTTAAAAAAAATTTGCTACTAAGCAACATTTCCTTAAACCTCTGAATAAGGTTCATGTTTCTGTCAATTCTTATTATATCCGAGACAATTACAGCACTGTAAATAAAAAAAAAACTTGTCATAGGTTACAAGGTGTATCACTGATGCATCTTTATACACTACAGTATCCTTGTTATCCTTGCCAGCTTACCTTTCTTAGCTGTTCGTGCTCTCTTTATTGGCTGAGCATCAGCTTCCTCTATGTCGGACTCAGGAGAAAATTCATGATCACTCTTAAAAATCAAATTTTCTTCCTCTTCATCATCCATATCCTCTTCCTCCTCCTCCTCAGAACTGGAACTGATAATCAGGATCAATCGAAGAGTTGGGGGATACAATTATAAATTACAGTCATTTCCAAATTAAAAGACATGCCAAGAGATAAACATATTTTCTTATCTTATGCTATACTGTATACAGTATATTAGAATATGTAATATGCCATACATATATACCAATTTAAAGAAGACACTCTCCTATCATCACCACCCACAACATTGAAAACTAGTGAAAAAAAAAAGGATTTCTAAATTAATTTAAACCTTAAATCCCGAAGCATGCATATTTTTGAACACCAATGGCACTTCATCTCAAAAAATTAAATATACTGTACAGTGGTCCCTCGGTTAACGAACACAATTCGTTTCACAGTCGTTCGTTAACAGAAAATTTCGTTAACCGAATCTATTATTTCAATGGGATATACTGTAGAGTAATTGGTTCCAACTCACAGAAAAAGTACATACAAAGTACTGTATACCAGTAATAGAATTAGAATTAACAAAACATTAAATATAAACTAAATACAGTACTGTACCATACAGTATACTGTACAATAATAAATAAAAAACAATAGAATACTGTATTATAATTTACTTTGAGGTGTGTGTCGTATTACCGGAAGCTTTGTTTACATATCAAACAGCCGATTGTAGAGGCAGTCGATGATGACATGCCATATTCTTTACAGAGTGCATTGGTTCTAATGCCTTCTTCATGTTTCATAATAATTTCTGCACTGTATATTATCAATAATTACAGAATGACCAAAAATTTTAATGTAAAAATGCAAAAAATATTCAAGAGACCAACAAAATCGATGTTCACTCCACTGTAAACAAAGTTAAACTGAGAAGTGTTGGTGGGTGATTCAATCAGCTGATGGACGCACAAAAACTGTTCCCTGTACTGTCGATATTATCAATATGTTAACTAAATTTCAGAAATATTCAAGAGACCAACTTTCTTGATATTTACTCCACTGGAAACGAATGTAAACATAGAACCAATTACTTTATTGGCGGACTAGCCGATCAGCTGATGCACACAAGAAAACGTTTATTGTAAGGATTTCGTTAATCGAAGTTTTGTTCGTTACTCAAACTGAAAATCCTTATGGGAGCTAATTCGTTAACCAAATTTCGTTAATCGAACCATTCGTTAACCGAGGGAGCACTGTACTGTATTATAATTGTTTAGACACGGCTCTTCACCCTTACTTCTTGACCTGTGCCCAAATACTATTATTAAGTGGGCCCAATAGTTCTCTAAAGACTACTGCAAAGAATTAAAACCATACATAACATAACATTGAGTGAAACTGAAGCAGCACTTTATTTGGCCAGAATTTCACTAAACTAACAGGAAAAGGATAAACTGGCACCACTGAGCCTTTTTGAGAGCTGCAGTTCTCTCAAGCCACCTGATAAATAGTGCACAATGCTGAACACTGTGCTTGGACTGTGCACACTCATGCAAACCTTTTATCACCATTTGATATACAGTAGGTAACTCTACCATTCACAAAAGTTACCTGGATGATGTAGATGAATGAGCCCATGGATCACTGGGATTTGTTTTCCTTCTCTTCCCACGCTTCTTCTTTTTCCTCTTTCTTCTCTCCCTCTCCTGAAAAATAAAATACTATACATGAACAAGAACTTAAAAGATTTTGATTTATGTCTTAATATGATCATGAAGCCATATACTGTATATATAAAGAAGAAAATTTCCTTTCTCTGGTCACTTAACAAACATTATACAAGGTTACTTACGATCTTGTGTAATTCTCGAGAATTTATTTAACGGAAAGCTTATTCCATGTTTCACCAAAATGGAAATATTATTGTGTTTTCAAGATTAATGATTACAGACTTTTTCTAAGAACTACGGTACAGACTTCACCTGATGCTTTTTGATAATATAATATCACTGGTTTATAATGAAACAAAAATTATATAGTTTGAGGAATACAAAACATACAAACCTTTAGTTTCTATATTTAGATTACTGAATTGAACTCCAATTCTAATCTTGGATGAATGAATAAACTACTCAGAATTAACAAGATAAATCTGTCAACAAATTATCTATAATACCAAAAGCTATTAGGTAGAAGACATTTAATATTAACAAACAAAGGGATATGACACAAACTTGCCTCGGCCTATTAAAAAATTAACATACTCAATTGCCAACAACATATTGCAGTGTTCTTTGAAAAGATGGAACAAGAGAGAAGACGAACATTTCCTTAGGTGCAGCACCTTAGTCAGGATTGGCATAAAAATGAAGTACAGCATCAAGTACTGTGCTGTATATGGAGAAAATGTGCCAAAAGTTCACAGAGTGAGGCAAGAGGTGGTTAGTATTTGTTAATTACTAACAGCAGTGGTTAGAGGAAATGACACACATTCAAGGAGAAAGCTTTTATCAATGACCAAGCTTACCTTCTTTTCTTTCTTTTCTCTTCTTCCTTTCTTCATTTCTCTTTGTGACTGCAAAAACAGATGATAAATTTAAAATAGGAAAATATTTATATATATATACATGCATATATATATTTCCTATCTGATACATATGAATATTTCAGTAAACCTCATAAGAATAAAATTAAGAACAATATTTCTGGTAGTACAGTACAGGTAGAGTGCCTTTAGCCCAGGTAACCAGAATCTGGAAATACCTAAAAACCAGCTACCAGACACAACCTTGGGACTTGGGATTTGTTCTTCATTCTGATGACAGTTTTCAAGCCATATCTAAAACATTTACATCCTTGAAAAAATTATAACTACAGGTAGTGTATTTTTCTCTCAAAATTCTGTAAGACATAATTGTGAAAGAATAAAATCTAGAGTATCTGAGGATACAGAATAATAATAATAATAATAATAATAATAATAATAATAATAATAATAATAATAATATGAAAGAATGGCGAAGAAACAGTTAAAAAACAACAACAGTAAGAGAAGATGAGAACTTTGTAGGGTATAAAAACTTCACAGGAATAACTGCTTTGCTAAGGAGCGCTGAGGCGGTTGGGGGACTGATTCATTATAATGTCCTTTATAATTCTTTTAATACCTTTACAGTTTACTGTACTATATAATAAACATTTTAAAAGTATAGTACACACCCATTACCTATTCTAAACTTTAAGCTGTACATTATAGAACTTCAGGTAAGTCCCTCAGGGGTCATCAAGTACAGTATTAGTTGAAATAGATCTAGTAGTGGGCAACAGATTTGAAGGTCCCAATACAGTATTGATTTGATCTTGGTCCCAAGGTTGTCATATTCTGGGCAGTGAACCGGAGCCTGGAAGCTGAAATTCATCCATCTTTATCTGTTGCAGAATGTTCAGTTATGAATGATACATGTCTGACCTGTCTTTTTGCAAACAAGTATCTGTGAACAACCTGATTAGCTCCAACTCTACTTCCATGAATCAGAGTCATCATTCTAAAAAACTTTAAGATAGGTTTATACACCTACATTACTTGATAGTGTTAAACAACCAAAGGTCTCTCACCCTTCTTTCCTCTCTGGCTTTCTTCTTGAGCTCTCGAAGACGATTCTCTTCAGCAAGTTGTTTTAATCTCATTGCTTCAAGGTGCCTCCGCTCTTGTTCCTCCTTCTCCCGGATTTTTGCAATGCGGACAGACCTCTGTCTAGGGACTGAATGTATAAAAATTAATTTAAATATACTATATTTAAAAAGGTGATTCAAAGCATAAGACTTTCTTACCAAAACTGTGATATCATAAATCGTGAGAACACTTTCAATCTCTAACGAATGGCTGTGGGTACTGTACATCCTTTGAAAAAGTGAAGTCATAGATCTAAATAAACCTGGCAACTCACATATTATGTCCACCAAGCTTTTGGGTTCAAAACCCAAGAAACCTTTAAACAATAATGAGTAGGACTAATCTAGTGATTATTCACACCTTCCTATCACAACCAAGTACCTGATAAGGGAGCTTCAGAAACAAACTGGCATCACATCAATCTGTGTTCACCAAGACGATCACTTGGCTTAGCTCCAAAATAAACAAAATTCCAGGTCACAAACCTCAGCTCCAACTCACTTTGTCACTACCCACTGGGAGGGGGAAGGGTAGTCACATAGCCTGGTCTAGGCTTGGTCATAAATGGAGAATTAATCCTGAACTCTCATTTTCTAGTAGAACTGCAAAAGGTTGTGGATAATCTTGACAGGTGCCAAATCACCCAGAAATCTTCCTGATTTCTATGAGCAAAATCAAAACTACAGTAACTGAAATTTGACATTAAAATTAAGCACACAGCATTCAATTCTACATTATGTGCACAGGAGTGAAATTTTATAAAAGTTGGAGATGGTCACCCATGGACCTCTGGAGATGAACATGTGAGTAGGATGCAATAGGGAGTGGAGAGTAAAGAGGATGTACAAGATGATTTATCAGTGTGTTGTGTTGAAGGAGACTGCCTACAATATGTGTAGTTGGAACTATACAATTGGGAAAGATCAAGGGGAAGTGACATGGGAAGGAGAGATACAGGGTGACCTGAAGGCTCTTCTGTTGTGGCCACCCTCTCAGAGGAGAGATTCCTGTAGAAGCTTGGTATCACAGATAAGATGCACGAGAAACAAACAAAAAACTGGTTGATTCAATGGAAGTAATTTAAAGTACAGGTACACCGGGATTTAGGGATTACAAAAGTTGTTCTCTCCTGGGGTACTTTACCTGGGTTAAAGGACCCTGGAGCTGCCCTTAGCGATAGGTCCCGCCTGTGGGTGATAACACTGATGGAGGGTCGTAACTCAGTTCAAACCAACTAATAGACCCTCAAAAGGGTTCCCCAATGTTCTATGGCAGAACACAGAAGGGCACACAATTATATCTCAACTGGAAATATTATATACAGGTCCATTTTTTCTTGAGGCAATAAACCCAGTGTATACAATATAACCAATATAAAAATGAGAACTTTTTTTAGTCCATTTTTTATAATACCAGTGAATTATTTTTAAAAACCTCAGATCAGAGCCTATAGCCTGAAATTGAAATCCACCCTTGACACTGTAAGGGAGGGAGTGGCTCCATGAACCAATGCACACTGGCTTATAACTCAAACTAGATCATTAACAAACATAAAAATTCTTACAACTTGACAATAACTTGGGCACTTAATGCCTTACTGAATACACGCACTTTGGACTATGTGGACCAGCTAAATTCTGTCCAAGTGCTAAGAAAATAGGGCAAATGGCACTTGGCTCCAAGTACAGAAAAATTTACGTCTCGAAAGATGTTTCCTCAAATGACAATAGTGTCACAAACTAAATTTTGAACCCTGGAATGACAGTTTATGAATAAGCCAAGCAAAATGCACATTACACATTGCTTGACATAAAGTCCTGACTAATTACCTTCAACCTTAAATGGTGACTGCCATTTCTAAACTTCCCTTTACACTGACCTGGTTATAATAAGGTGTAATTGATTAAACCCAGGGACTGCTGTCTGAGGGCTTCCTTAGTTTACAATATGTAGACTTACTGGACATAATAGATGAGTTGCCAAAGGAAAGACAATACCGTAGGTTATAAAATACAATTAACATCAAATATTTTGCAGCACTCTTGAGACTCCAAGGAAAATAAATTGATAAATTCTGCGAAAGTAAGATGAGTCTGAACAATACACAATTACACATGCCACATAATATAGCTTAAACTTCAAATAAAAATGGTAGTAACTTGTATTATAGGTATGATTAAGATACAATAGCCATTGTAAAATGATCACTATATAATCAAAGAAACAGTAATGTATAGTATATAGTTGTAAGAAGTACTATACATACTGTACTCTCGATGATACAGTTTTCAGTAAATATTGTTACAGTGTAATTTAATACAGTACTATTCAATTATATTTTTTCCGTCAAATTTAAGACACATTCTATTACAGGTAGAACCCAATTTAAGGATTTTAAAATAATCTGCTGCATCAATTTACACACGAAACCCAGTTATGAAAAAAATTTATTTTCTTCATAACATCGTTAGATGCTAAGGTATTGACACAGGCATCTGGAAGCCTCCTTTACTGAACAAGGACAGTGTATAGCGTTCTCTAAACCCCTGATGTAGTGTATACTGTATCACTTTATTTCTGAAGAGCTTATGGTGCAGTCAGGAAAACCTACATACAGTAAATAAAAGGACATTAATTAAGAAATAAAAAAGTTTTACACCTTACAGTACATGTAAGAGACTGCAGTTGATGACTGAGTACTGTACACTACAGTACAGTGTACTTCTGTTACAGTAAAAGGGAATCAGAAACTGATGAAAATTCTGACTCTGATTCTTCTGATTCTATTTCACTTCTAACACAGTACAGTACACGGCAAATAAGCTTCTAGCAAATTTGCAAGAAGACTAAATCAGTAATTGCCAACTGCTTGATCAACCTAACACAAGAAGAGCAACCTCACATCCATCACCGTCACCCTCAGTACTGATTACTACAGTTTTTCATAAGTAGAATACAGTCTACTTGGATTAATGTCATTAGTATATATTGCATGAACCATACAACTATGATTATTATTCTTAATTAAATCATTGAGTCTCTTTAAAAATTGCTTAAAACCATGTTTAGCGTCATTCTAATACTGTACTGTATAAGCCAGAGGAATTTTTCCATAGGAATGTGTCTTCCAGTTCTTATAGGTAGTATATTGACAGGAAAATCTGTTAGGTCTGCAAAATTTCACTCAAGTTACTCATATTCATAATGCAGCCTGGATGTTTGGGGCTTACAGCCACTGAAAGTGAGAGTTATGTCGACATCACTGACGCTGATATTATAACATACTGTCATGGGTCAAGTCACATTCAAATAGGTACGTTGCCTGTAAGCAAGTAGGCCAGTCCATCACCAGACGAAGCCCTGCACTAGGTTAGCCTAACAAATCATAAATACCAACAAAAGGCACCACAAATACAGTTTAGGTAACAACTCCAAAATGACAACATTTGGATGTACTTCACAGACACAAACAACTAAAGAATATGAAACCCTGAAGTTATTTCTGTAGAGCAGTTCAATTTCTTAATACAGAATTGTATTTACCATGACGCAAATTACTGTACAGCACAGTATTTGTCTTTAGTAATTTACTGAATTGAAACTCATAGCTGAAAAGTCCGTACACAATTTTAATTTGCAAAGATTCAGGTAAATTATTTAACTGTAATCAGGCCTACCTTTATCTTCCCTCTCTCCTTTCCTTTGGAAGTTCTTTGACCTTTCCTTAACAATCATGGTAGTGATAATGTTGTCTCATGTTTAACATATGATCTTACATACAGAAAAAAATATCCTTTACATCACTACCAAGATCTTCACTTGCGTAGATGATGATCATTTTACAAAATAATGAGAACTTTAACAAAACAAATAAATTGAACAAAGCCTTACCATCTGGTAGAGGTCTTGCAGTACTCCCTTTGCCACGCTGCCTTCGCTTCTTTCCAGGAACGGGGGTTTTATTTTTATCTTCATCACCATCCAATCCATCCTCCTCCTCCTCTTCTTCTTCCTCTTCTTCTTCAATATCTTCATCATGTTCTACTTCATTCTCATCCTCTCCATCACTGCCTTGAGGCTGCTGCCTCTTATGTGGTCGGCCTCTTCCCCTGCCACTACCCCTCTCCTGACCCAAAGATCGCCTTCGCCCTCTTCTTGTTGATGCAGATTCTTCATCATCATCTTCTTCATCATCTTCTTCATCACCTTCATCTTCCTCCTCTTTACTACTTTCCTCATGCCTTTCCTCTTTATCATCATCACTTCCATCATTTTCTTGTCCCTTTCTATGCCTCCCAGTTCTGCTTTTAGTATTCACTTTACTAGAATTATCTTTTTCTTTTCTGAGTTCTTTTACTTTTCCTTTATCAGGTGATGGTTTATCACCACTGGCAACATCAACATTTTCCTCCCTTTCTTTAAATTCAGTGTTATTAATTGACTGTTCCTCATTTCCTTTCTCATGAGTCTCACTCTGTTTATTATTTTTATCCTCAATTTTACCATCTTTTTCATTGCCTTGAGGAGATTTGCTATCATCCTTATCATTGCAAACATTGTTCTCCTCGTTAACCTTCTTTCCATTAACACTCGAGTGCTTATTATCTGATAGACTTTCCGGCTTTTGCCGCGATAACGATTTATCTGTCTTTTCAACAGATTCTATAGTTCTTAAACCATTCACTTTAGCTTCATCACTCTCTGAAACCCCATCAACTTCTTTGAAATCACCCTCAGTTCTTAAACCCTCCACTTCTTTTTGTGGCTTACGATCACTTGGCGCCGCATTTCCTTGTTTGTCAGTACCACTTCCACCACCTTCTGCCTGTTTAGTTTCGGCACTTTTTTCCGTTTCATCACCGTTATTACCAGCGTCACAGTCAACACCATTACCCTCCCCCCAGAAGTACATCACATCTTCCTCCACAGCCTCCTCGACTTGATGTTTTCTTGTATTGTCACTTTCATGAAAACATTCCCACCAAGGTTTTCGAGTGTCAAATATGGATTCATTATTGTCTCTATCATACAGGGGATTTCCTGCCTGACAGGATGCACCCTCACCATCACCCTTTATCAACATCAATGGTTCTTCAATGGCCTCCCCCACTTCCTGTCCAGTCTTAATTGATTGTGACTTCTTTCCCTCTACTTCCTGTCCAGTCTTGGTTGATTGTGACGTACTTCCCTCTACTTCTTGTCCAGTCTTGGTTGATTGTGACTTATTTCCCTCTACTTCCTGTCCAGTCTTGGTTGATTGTGGCTTATTTCCCTCTACTTCCTGTCCAGTCTTGGTTGATTGTGACTTATTTCCCTCTACTTCCTGTCCAGTCTTGGTTGATTGTGACTTATTTCCCTCTACTTCCTGTCCAATCTTGGTTGATTGTGACTTATTTCCTTCTACTTCCTGTCCAGTCTTGGTTGATTGTGACTTATTTCCTTCTACTTCCTGTCCAGTCTTGGTTGAGGGCAACTTATTTCCTTCTAATTCCTTTGTCACATTGACAGATTTTGAGCCATCTCCCCCAATTTCCGGTTTTGACTTGGCTAATTTTGAACTATCTCCCCCTACTTCCTGTGTTGTCTTCGTTGGTTTTGAACTACCTTCCCCTTCCTCTTGTCTTAATCTAATTGATTTGGGGCTCTCTCTGTCAGATACCTTGTCAATTTCCATTTTATCTACTGGTACTTTTGACACATTCTTCATCTGCGAGTCTTTTGTTGCTTGGCTTAGAGGATGTTTCATTTCCCTGTCTTGAGTAACAGAGCTTTTCACTGAAGTTTGTGATGCTGGCTCAGAAATTCGTGGTACCTTGCTCTCTGGTAAGTTACCCATCTCAAGTTTCCTTTTTGACGTGTCTGTTGATGGTTCCTTTACTTCCTCTTTCATGGATGTCTTTGAAGGACCAAGATCTTTATGTGTATTCAATCCAATGTCCATTTTTTCACCTTCTGCTAATACCATCTTTTCCCTAACAGGTGGTTTATCTGCAGGTTTTGTTTGCTTGCTCACATCCATAGCACCATGTTGTACTTCCATTTTTGTCTCTACAGAAGCAGCTCCTTTAGCACTGGTATCCTTAACAGTGGTAATCTTCACCAAACCTGTAGATTCCCCACTCTTATCACCCGGTTTCTCATTCAATTTTTGGGGGTCGCTCACTGGCAAAGTCTGATTTTTATCTTCTTCCTTCTTGCCAGATGTAGTTCCAGTACTGGGCATTTTCTCTTCTTTGACTCCCACCTGTGCAATGGTTTCTATTTTCATTTTCTCCTTACCAGTGCCTGAAGAACTCTGGTCAGTTTTTGAAGAGTCTGTGATTTTGAGATTATCATCTTTTTTCATATATCCACCAGTTTCCTTTCCTACTTTCACCTGGGCAGTAGAACTTGTTTCAGCATCTTTTTTAATTCCCGTAAGTTCCTGCTGTGGATGCCGCACATCTGATGAAAATTTATGTTCCACTTTCAGGGATTCTTTGTGAGATTCAGGTGATTTAATATCTGTAACTTTTAATTTCTTTTGAGGAGGCTCTGAAGTATCACTATCTTTTATGGATGGCACTGGACTACTGAGGGGTAGTTTGCTATAAGGAGTTGATAGAGATTTTGTAACAGGACCAGCTGCTGACTTGTCAGAAACAGAAGAACTTGGTGAACTAACTCTTTGTGTCTTAGATCCATCTCCTGATGAATCCCTTTCTGCACCTGTGGGCAAGACAACAGGTTTTGATAATTCTGACTTTTCCTTTATTTTCTCTTCCTGTCCTCTATGTGTAGAATCACTAACCTTAAATGCTGGTCTTTCTGGTTCTGTTGTTGCAGCAGCCTGTACTACCGGTACCTTTTCATCTTGTTTAAAAGGTTTTCTATCAAGTGGATCTTTCTGTGTGTTTTTTTCTTTATCTTCTGTACTCACTGCTTTACCTTGTTCTATTCCTAACTTTGCTACTTCATGTCCTGACTTTGTGCTGGTAATCTGATGAGGATCATTAGAGCTTTGTTTGCTGTTACTTTCTTTTTTATACATTTCAGAATCTTTCTTCTCTGTTTCACCAATTCTTTTTTCTTTATCCTTGCTGGAGGATTCTCTTTCAAGGGCATTGGCTTCTCCTTTCTCCTTCAACTTGTTTAGCTTATCCCAAACACTCTCTTTCTTTTTTACTTCTACTTTCTCAAAACTACCCAACTTTAGCCTATCTTTAACATCCTGTCCTTCTTGTATACTCATTCTCTCCTTCGCTACTCTCTCTCTCTTTGCAGCAATGTCTTCACAGATTGCTTTGGTGGTGTCATCTGGCTGAACATCCATTGCCAACAATTCTCGCTTTCTTTCGCTGCTCTGATCAGACCTTCCAGATTCTGAAATTTTTCTTGTAGCTTCTGTTTTCTCGACATTACTTACAGGTTCTTTAGAAAATTCCCATAGAATCTTTCTGGGCGGCCTTTGTGCCTCAAACCCTGGACGCTTATCTTTCTCATTTCCCGTTTCCCTTGCACTTCCACTACCACCCACTTTATCCAATGTCCTTTCCTTTCCTTGCAGTAAGCTAGATGCCTTGTCTTTTTCTTCCATTTTCCCAGCCTTTTCTTTTTCATCCACTTTCACATCAATTTTTTTCCTTTCCTCCACACTGCCACTACCTTTGTCTCTGTCCTCGACTTTAGTTTTAGTTGTATCTTTTTCATCATGTTTGGGTTCATTTTTCTGACTTTCTTCCAGTTTAACTTCACTTTTAACCTTTTCCTCCACCTTAGTGAAAGTCTTCTGTTTCTCCTCAGTCGATGCTAAAGTCTTCCCTCTGTCCTCCACTTTATCAGAGGGCTTATCTCCTCCTTCCACTTTTACAGGAGTCTTTTGTTTGTCCTCCACTTTTGCAGGAGTCTTTTGTTTGTCCTCTACTCTTACTGCAGGCTTCTCTTTGTCCTCCACTTTTACAGAGGTCTTTTCTTTGTCCTCCAATTTTGCAGGAGTCTTTTGTTTGACCTCCACTCTTACTGCAGTTTTTTCTTTGTCCTCCAATTTTATATGGGTTTTTTCTTTGTCCTCAACTTTTGCAGGAGCCTTTTGTTTGTCCTCCACTCTTACTGCAGTCCTTTCTTTGTCCTCCACTTTTACAGAGGTCTTTTGTTTGTCCTCCAATTTTGCAGGAGCCTTTTGTTTGTCCTCCACTCTTACTGCAGTCCTTTCTTTGTCCTCCACTTTTACAGAGGTCTTTTCTTTGTCCTCCAATTTAACAGGGGCTTTTTGTTTGTCCTCCACTTTTACTGCAGTCTTTTCTTTGTCTTCCACTTTTACAGAGGTCTTTTCTTTGTCCTCCGCTCTTACTGAAGTCTTTTCTTTGTCCTCCAATTTAGCTGGGGTCTTTTGTTTGTCATCTGCTCTTACTGAAGTCTTTTCTTTTTCCTCCACTTTAACTGAAGCTTTTTCCTTTTCCTCCACTTTAATTGGAGCCTTTTCCCTTTCCTTTGTTTTCCCTGGTATACTTTCCTTTTCCTTAACTTGAAGTAAAGTCTTCTCATTACCACTCTTTCCATCTGACTTTCCAGCAACCTCATGCTTGACATCAACCTTTGCTGAAGCCTTTTCCTTTTCTTCAACATTTCTACTGGTTTGTTGATTTTCTTCCACTTTTTCACTGCTTTCTTTTTCTTCAATCTTTCTCTTGGCAATATCTTTTCCTTCGTATACTCCAGATAGCTTTGTTTTTTCTTTGACCTTGTCACAGACTTTCTCCTTCTCCTCTATCTTTACACTAGTCTTTTCCTTTTCATCTATCCTTCCCTTTACCATTTCATTCCCTCCTCCCTTTCCACTCAAATTTTCCATTTTTTCTTCGGTACCTTCCTGTTTTTCCGTGTTTTTGCCTGTTTTAGTTTTGGTGTCTAATTTGTCCTGTGTACTGTCAGATTTCTGTACACACTTCTCTACCTTTTCCAGTGCCTTTGTTTCTACATTTACATTTTCTATTCTTTCTTCTTTCACAGTTTCCTTTGTTGGTTCACAAACTCCAGACTTCTGTTTCTCTAAGTTGCCATCCATTCCTTTGCCATCTTCTCTTTCCAGCTTTTCTTTAACCTTTTCACCAACATCCAACCTTTCATTGTCCTCTTCCTTCACCTTTTGTACATCACTCCTCCCTTCTAACTTTTCTTTAATCTTATTTACCTCCACCTTAGTTGCAACTTCTTTACTTTCTTCTGGTTTATCTTTTCTCTCATTGTCTTGGCCAGTGTCTAAAACAGGGGAAGTTCGCCCACTGGCAATCGGCGTTGGTGCTTTACTGTCCACTGGTGTTGGAGCTTCACTCAGCCCCATGGGTGTAGCAGTGCCACTGTGGCTCCCATCTACTGACATTTCTCGGCTGGCCCCAGGTGGTGACTCAGAATCAAGTTCGGCTATCAGGGCCACCAGTTCTTCTCTTGTGCTAGGAAGTTACAATTAAATTTTTATAAAATTCATCATTTGTGGACATATACTTGTATATAAATATACTTTGCATACATAAATTAAAAGTTTAAATGTCTGAACACAATATTGTATGCCAATACTGTACTATACTGTATGTACAGTCACAGACAAAAGTTCGCTCCCCACTGTGTAACTGAGTAACGGGAATGAGTCTCCGAATTGACTTACCATGACTGTTGTATCTTGTATGGGGTCAATGCTGCTTCATTTTGGGAGGGAGCGAATTTTGACCCCGAATTTACAGTCCCCCGAAAAGTATCATTAACCCTGGGGTCAGTGTGGTTATCAAGTAAATTAACCATTATACGTAATAATAGAACCCCCCCCCAACACATTGCCAGTCAGCTGTGAGATGGCTATGCACATTGCCATTGTTACATGTAATATAACTATAAAAGTTGTGGAAAAATCATTTCACTACTGTACCCTAATGTGATTTAGAAATAATAAAAATACAGTATTGAAGAGCATGGGTGTGTATGGTGTGGAGGCAGTGGGTTACTGTAACTATGTTGCCACATCTCAGCCAGCAAACACCGCACTCCCTCTCCCATGGCCTGATGTGACATCACGGCATACACATAGCGCAGTGCGGCAGCCACACACATTTGAGTCAGCTGGCTGGCTGAGCTGTGTGGTTCACTTTTGGCATTGCTCAGACATTTTTGTACATAAAATGTATTATTTTATTTTATGATCTGCCCTGTATAATTTTTGTTGTTTATTATAGCAGTTTGTGTTCATTTTTGGCTAATGCACAACACAGAATAACAAATGACTGGAACCTATTTCCATTTAAAATTAACTCAGAAAACGAAGTTTCCGAGGACAAAGTGGACTTCATGAACATGCAAAAAAGTACTGAATGAAAGACAAACACTGAATTAGTGACTAACCCAGGGCTGTTGCTAAATATATCATATTTTCCCCATTCCCCTTTCTTAGAAGCCCCAATTTGTTGACAATAGATGAAGTAATTACAGTTAGATAATATGAGGTCAAGCAGGAAATGATAATGTATTAAAGGATCGAGGAAGTTAGGAACAGATAAAGTTGGGTTGAAATTAGGCCAAACTTTCACTTCACATCAACTCCCGAGCTGGATTATGAATAAAAAAAAAACAACACCAAACTTATGAGAATATGTAAAATAAGATTCACAGTTAAGTAAAATTACTAAAATTAGTTTCCTGTTTCAATCTTGAAAAGTAATCCTTTTAAAGTAAAACAATTAAAGTATCTGATTATATCAGATGATATTGACAGGATAGGTTAAACATGTTAAAGAAAAAATAAAATTAATACAAAAAATACAGAATTTCTCTAGCACCAACACCTACAAAGATTGAGATCTTCAGTTATGAGACATTCAAGCTAAATATGAGCAAATGAAGTTATAAATAATGTGTGAGGTAAACTACCCACCTAGCAACAAGTGTCCAGGTTTCCTCATCCTGGTCATCACAGTACACACGTAGATTAGCACACTCGTCCAACTGAAACCAGTATGACACACCCTTTTTGTCACGTCCACATGGCTGTAGACGCAGCTCATTTGCACCCAACAGGTTCACTTTGTCTTTGAAACTCTTATACATATCAAACTGTGCTTCAAGTAAGTTCTGAAATCAATAAAAAAAACAGTCTTATTACAGTATTCTGTGTTATACTGTACTGGAGAAAACAAATTTCTTTCACCTTTACAAGCCTTCTCCAGATAAAAAGTCCAATCAAATCCAACACACACTCTTCCTTCATTTCTCTTTTCCATTATCTCTAATTAATGTAACTTAGGAGCTCAAAATAGAGATAAAAAAAAGTTTTATCCAGTCAAAACAATACAGTACTGTATATTAAACAATCATGGGATACACTACATTTAAAATAATATTTTAGCCCACATAATATAAAGTACAGTATTCTAATTACTAAAATAAAGATTCCAAAACTTGTGCATAAGAAAAAATCTGCACCACCAACACTAGCCCAAGTACTGTGGTGTAGAGCGATGCTCACCTTAAGAACACGTATCTTAACTTCCAGTTTGGCCTTCTTGAAGCCAAAACGTTCAAGTTCCCAGCCATCTTGGTGAGAATAACTATGTGCAAAACGTTGAAGCCCTCTCTCCCATCTGTCCAACTTCACTGATTTGTTAATACGTCTCAATAACTGACTTACGGACTGTGATACGAGAGGGCTGACTGTGGACAAAAATGGAAAAATGTTATAATGAACATTTATGTTACAAATACAAACTATTTTAAAGTAGATCCCTTAAAATCCTACAAAATAATTATTGCATATAACTTAACTGTTAATGTTTACCTCCTGAGTTAAAGGAGATTCGCATAAATATATAAACAGGTGCTGCTCCGTACCTGCGTTGATTCTACTAATTCTTCATAACACTCAGTCAAGTTCACCTAAAAGTTACCTAAGTATGCTGACACACAACAGTACAGTACTTTATTCTGGATACAAAATGGTGGCCATTGCTATGTAGTTCAGGGATATTGCTTTTATGAACTTACAATTCTGACTAAAAAGCGTAAAGATTACTCACAAATTAACTAAAAAGTGGAAGACACAATAAATCTTCAGTACAAATACAATGTCTAAAATTATACAGTACAGTATTTGATTCAAAGAAACAGTGCTGTACTCTGTTTGCAGTCCTGTTATTTGAAAAACTCTAACTGTTGGAGACTATACAAGTCTTAAGTCATCAATTAGAAATGGTCACATAACAGCCACCAAGAGCACACATCAACCTAAAACAAGACAATAAACCACATGAGGCCAAAGAACAAATATCTGAAGAAGAACTGATATTTTTTGTCAAAGTTAAATCCATACGTTTCACACCAAAAAAAAACTACACACACAAAACCAGTTTTTCAAAATTTAATGGATAAAATAAAACTGATGTAATATTATCAACCATCTAGTCTACCAGATGAGACATACTGTATTACATAAAGGAAAAGACATATGCCATCCTTACAACACAATACAAAGGAATCATATTTCATAATTACAAACTCTGTTCATTAAAGACAGTCATAATACAGTCACTTAAATTAGGAACACCCACTTAATGTTTACCCACATTTATACCACTTCACATGAAATGGATTAACATGTTCACATTTACTTTTACCACCCATATTTTGTTAACACAGAGCTAAGGTTTCAAGTGCTGTACTGTCCATAAATATGGGAAAAATAAACACATTGACATGAGCTACATCCACAAATGAATGTGCTTTAGGTTAACTAAGAAGTGAGGGTGGCTGGCAGATGTACTGTATGAAGCACCCATGAAGCTATTACAGTACGTGTATATTCTCTGTTCTTATGTGCATGATCTCATATTTACAAACATTTTCCCATAAAATCCCATTCTTAAAGCCGAGATACACGCTTAAGAAAAGATCCCCAAAATGCATTAAAATGCTACAAAACAAGTTTTAATATTTTTTTATGTACACAATAATAATAAACCAATTATAAATATAATAGCAGGAAGTGAAATACATGCAGTGGAGGACATGAAAGTTACTGAGCAAATACACTACTGGTTGTGATGAACTGTGATGCCCAGCCAAGACATATGGTTATTTCATAGTGATGCATCAACAGTAAGTCTACTGCACTGCATAATTTTTTTGGCTGGGTTTGATTTTTGATGAAGTTTTATCCAAAGAAGAAATACTGAACTTATCCATTTATCACTGTATTCTTTCCACTGATGTTAGATGAAAATCTGGGATACCAAAATACCCTTACCATTCCCAGTCAAAACATCCTGAGTCAGTTGTCTTGCTACTGCTTCAAGTTGCAATTCTATGAGTCATGATAAGTAAAACTCTACATGTACAAAGTAGAGTATTATTTTTAGCTTACTTAAGCTTTCTTAGTAAAGTACAGTACTGCATGTTGCCTTCAGTTTGTCTTATAAACTGACCAGGACCAGTATGGGAAGCCCTGACAGACCTGTGTCAGCACCTCATCATCATCTGATGTTTTGCTGTTTGACTCATAACAGGTTTGCTGGCACAGAGGACAAGATGGTGTCTGGTATAAAAATCTAAGCAGCTTACTGTTCTAAAGTGAGCAAATGCAGCTGGAACACACAGATGTGATGGCAAATTTCTAAACCTTGTGCCCTGGAGGAAAAAAAATCCTTCATAGAGTAAATTCAGCAGGCATGGATCATCCAGGAAATAACCAGTGAATAGGTTACCCATTATTTTTTACCTGAAGCTCATGCTTGCTGTTGTAAGGTGAGGCTGCCTGAGGCCTCCAAAATTTTCCTTGTTTTAGATAATTGCTCTGGTCACCCTCCTGTGAGGAAGGTGGAGGCCAGCAACTGTATTGTTTTATTATTGCTGTTTATATTATGTTTATTTAAGGTATATATATATATATATATATATATATATATATATATATATATATATATATATATATATATATATATATATATATATATATATATATATATATATATATATATATATATATATATATATATATATATATATATATATATATATATATATAGTCTCTCCTGCACTTACAACAACCTGGACATACGACGGCCATGGTCGTATATAATATCTTTCACATACCCGAATAACTGACACATATAGGGACCGTGAACAGTCATTGGTTAGTGAATCAAGTTATCGAAGCAATTAATCCCTTAAGAATATAACAAATCGGGGAGGTTAGGGACCGGCCACCCCACCAAAACTCCCATCTACCCTTGATATATCTCTGTTGTGCACACTTTCAAGAAAGAAAATAAAGCAGACATATAAATAAAGCATAATGAGCATTAAATAAGGAATGTGAAGCATACATTAAGACTGATATTTACTTGTGTTTAGTGTGGCAAGTTAAAGTCTCTTCCAATCTTTGCTGCTCCATCACCACTCTTATTATGCCATATCACATCAAGCTGCCCTGGGCAGCACAAGAGAAACTATCACTGGGGTGTTTAGCCATGGTTGTATAACACACAAAGTAGGAAATAACGACACAACACAAAGTTGGAGACACGTGGTAAGTGTAAAAAAAGTGTAGAGGCGGGAATGAGTCAGAGGCAGCGCGCAGAGCACTCTCGTGGCAAAAGTTTGCACCACACCACCACCCTCCAAATTCAAAATAACTCTGCTGCTCTTCTCTCAATCGTCGGATCAACGAGTATCAACAAAATTTGCAGGGTATTTCTCTAATACGTAATCATCGGTTAAGCGAAGCGGCGGTTAATGGGACGTTGTTTTTTTGGAGTATATCTGTATTTTGATATGAAATATGACATACAAGATTATCGCTCAGAAACAATTATGAATTATTTGAGGAATTAGAATTGGACGTCAAAACGAAAAGGTATATTGTACCAGTACAGTACTGAACTGTGCATTAATTGTTTTTAAGCTGAAATGAAAATCGAATAAAAAGATATGAATTGAAATAATATTCATACTCACTAGGGTTACCCATGTCTTTAATGAAAATGTAAAAACAACATTCCATATTCACCACCTCGATGGACGATGACATAAAGTGGGAAACATTCACTGTAATGGCCCCTGTTTCATAAACAGAATGATTACAAAATTGGTAATCACATATTGATTTATATACATAATCATCCCCTGTAACTTTCCACTGGCCATCTTGATGGCATCTGGTCGGCACCCTTCCTTATAAGGTGTAGCCAGAGACAGCTTAGGTCAGCGTTGAAGGGGCCAGGCGTTCGGAGCACTGACGCCCTGGGGCCTCATTCTCACTCCACACCTCACATAGGAAGGACGTCTTAAAGCAGGTCTATTTACATAGCCTCCGTCCTTCTCTTAACACTCATAGTTACAGTGATAAGTTACGGTTGATTTACACTTTGGAATTGTCTTAGTAGTTCCTGAATAAATGGATAACAGACAACTTGGGTTTTGCAACTAAAACCCAATAAAGTATAAACGTTCCAGCCTAAAAACTAGGCCCTGGAATATCACAAAACAAATTTTTGAGTTTTAGATAAACTACAGTACAGTATAGGTATGCTAAAATAATTTTTGTTTATACTGTTTCCCCTCGTAATTATTAGAAAATTAATTATAATTTATACTCTCAAGGTAATGTATTACTTAGCAGCCAATAATAAAATACTGTACTGTACATATATAAACATTAAAAATTCTCATTCAACGGTCATTTGTTTTGGATGAAAAAAGTACATTTTGTAAAATTGTTAACTTCCATGAAACTTTATTCAACTAAGAATTATTTTAGAGTAACAAAAGCCTTTCATATTATTCTAAAATAAAACCACTTCTAAACAAGGAAATAAGCTACACTTAGAAATGTTATTGGTTTGTGTTGCTGTATCATCCCGGACTGGCTGCCCTTTATTCTCTTCTGCATTCAGCTCCTTCGTCTTTTAACCATGGGATTAATATAATACTGTAGCTCTTTCACAGTTATTATTTGCCTTGAAGCATTTAACGTGTAAATTTATGAGGGAATGCCAGAAAAAAGGTTAGGTAATGAAAAATTTGGCATCCAGCCCACTGTTGAGTGGTCAGTCACTCGCACGGTTCCCACTAAGTTGCCAGATACCGGTGTTTGAACGAATCATACTGAAAGCCGTGACACCATTTCTTCGGCAGATTGTACAGTTGCGGAAATGCGTTCCTACTCTCCATGTGGTAACAAATGTCTCCAAACAGCCAGCCTATAGGAAACCTATCCACTTATCACTTCCACCGTTACACGACCAATACCCATTCATTCATAAATAGCGATACTATTACTGCAACATTGCCATTTGGAGACATGGATTACCACAGGGGGTGTAGGAACACATTTCTGCAACTGTACACACCATGAAACTGGCCACAATAAATCTTTATTTTATTATGTCAATCCATACAGAGTATAGTATTGTATATAGTAGACAATGCATTATTACACAAAGAACAGTTTCAGCTTGTAAAGTATAAAATGGGGCAAGTACAGGTCAAACCTTTCCAATACTCTCTGGATCTGACCAGTGCCAGACCATAGAAATTTACAAACCTCTTAAGATCTAGTATAGTCTGGTGAACAAATCCCTCTACTCTACTGATACTGTACCTGTACATGAGATTCAAATACAGTACAGGTTACCATTAATAAAAAGTTAACTAGGTACAGTAAAGGTCAACTGAAGATACATACTGTACCTAGTGACAAAAATTATTATAATTTCCCCCAAAATAGAAACATCAATGTATTAAATATAAAATAAATAATACAGGACCACAATTATCTGCCTATCATGGAGACAAACTCCTACAAGTGAGACTCTTAACCTAAACATGTTTATATTTGGAGGGTTTGTATTGTAAATAATAATTTATGAAATTTATATATTGCAATGTAATGTATATCTTTATTCATGACATGTAATTTGTGGAATTATTGGTGTATACAAATCTTGTGTAAGCCCAGTGCGGCTTACATAACATTACCATCACTTCCACGATTTGCTGGTCTCAGAAGCCGTATTAAAAAGTAAAGTATAACTTAATGTAAGCCCAAAGCACAGAATAACAGTGAGACCAGACTGGCAGACATCAACCAAATTTGTAGAAGTGCAGGAAACTGGCACCATCCTCAACACGCAGTTTCACAAAGTACAGTCCAATCCAGTACAGTGCAGTACAGTAAAATACAGCCAAACACAAATCATGCTGAACCATAGGGTGTCAGATTAGAGGGGGTGAACCTGTATATAAATCTATAGATGTAAGTGAAAGCAGTCATGAAATATGACACACATATTTAGATACACAACTACTGTACATGCCAATCCAACCAAAAACAAAAGGATATTAGAAAGATGACACATACCAAACAAGCAATACTTAAAACAAACTGCAATGTCTAGTTAGTTAGCTTTGTTCATATCATCTGTCAAAAGAGATTAAATGATGTAGGTTTCACATGATTCTGTTAGTGAAAGGTGTTCTTCTCTGTACCCCACCTGATTCTAAATGGAGTCTCATAATCATGTACACAAAATTATGGTTAATTCCATATAAGGGCATGAGCCTAAAGGACATCTTTTGTGGAGTGTTTTAATTCTATTTACCAAATCTTTTGATATTTAGATAAATTTACATGGTGATTTTTTTTTAATTTCCAGGAGGCAAATGTCAGTATTTTTCATGTACACGACTGTTTGTATTATAGCACCAGCATAGGTTTACATTTTTCTTTTATATACAGTTTTATTGTGAACCAACACATCAAAAATCTGTTGCACCAAGAACCTTTAAAACATATTGTATGAGATGATGATAGTCTTGTGCGCCAGACTAAGCATGAAACAAACTTTTTACCCTTCACTATAATGTGTGTCACGGTTCTCTTATCCATCAATCAATTTTCTTATAATTTGTCACAATAACACTTTCCTAGTTATTGTTTTCATCATTTCAGCTTCAGGGTACAATGGTAACAAACAGATGTTTGTGTTTGATACAAAAGTTGACCTCAGCTACCACACAGAGTAATTCCTGCCTTCATAAACAGATGTTAATTTTTGTTGCAAGTGAAATAATGGTAAATTTATTCTTTTACAATGTGAGTGAGATTGGGGACAAGCTATGACTGTTTGCTTCAGCTGTCAAGAATTTTTCATTTTTTTTAGAAAATATACACAATATTTCTGCACACTAATTCTCTTTATTTTACTGACAGTCAACTTGAAATTCATAAACAATAACAAGAATGATTTGTGTTATTCCATGTCACACTTGTCCCTCAGCTGTCACACTCTGGACCCACCCCCTTCACCAATGACATTTCATCAACACTGTAGACATATGAAAATTAAAACCCAAAATGATTATATAAACAATGGATGAGCTTGGTTAATATATCAATTGTCCCGTCAATTAAATAAAAACCTTCGTAAAGTAAATTTGTGATGTTATTAAATTCATGACAACTATTGTGCAATGACACATGTTAAAAATTCTTACTTCAGCATACTTATCTCACATGTGGCTACACTTATGTGGCTACTATCTGACACGCCATGACCTCTCCCTCCCGATAGACTGAAAATAATGTTTGTGGAGGCCTTTGCTGGGGCTACAAAGTTGAGGCGCAGAGAGGTTGTCAAACAATACAATCCTCTGTAGCTTATCGGCTTACCGTTATCTGTGTCTTCTAATGAACTTTGAAGCTCGCCTATGTTGGGAAGAGTTAACCCTAGCTTCTCTCCAAATTTGTCGATAAAGGAACATATTACAGCAAAATCTGCGTGACTTGTACACAAGTCCTCATCATTGGACGCCATTTTCACATTGACGTCAATAAACGCCACAAAAACAAATCGGTGATGTTAGCGTCTCCAGGTGAACAAGTGAGCATCACGGCACTCACCTTATACTAGATCCTCTTAGGAATACTTCAATGTTTCTAATAAGAGAATTAGAACCTTTAGATAATGTTTTAGCCTTTTACTTATAAGGCTTCATCGGCGTCTATTTGTTTTCCACCACAAATCTTTCAAGGGTTAAACGGAACATCAATACTATCTCTACTTACGCATTTCGCTAAGTTCATATTATTATAATTACCCACTTAACATGTTCATGAATGACATTACTTCCATCTCGTGCTTTAAGCTGCCACAATCACGCAAGCAAAACTAAGTTCTTTGTGTTTATTGCTTGCGTGGTTCGCGGACTAGAAGTATGCAGTCTAATAGAGCTGCAGTCGGCACACGAGTTGCAACAGTACCACGACAAATAAGTAAACCAGAAAAGTGTTTGTTTTGCAGCCACATTATACACTGCTCTTAATTAACATAACTTTAATATTAATAGTAAACAAAAGTTGCTAAGATCTCCTGAGAATATCGCACAATGCGTATATAAGTATTTTATTACCTTTTCCAATAATGCGCCGTAATGATAAGTTTAACATTTAGTTAAATGTTGGAGTAAAATGTAAATAAAATTCCTTCTGGTGACTACATGTTGCGAAACACGAAAACGAACGTCATGGTGAAACATAATTATTGAATTGTTCATCAGACCAGATTTTAACTCTTAACAGTTTTTAAGCCGCACTACATCGTGTCCACCATTAAAGCCATTTGGAGAAAACCTTGAAATTTTCAGGCGCAGTCCGCCAAATTGTGGCCCTGAATAACTTACTTTCCCATCAAGTATATGAAGTATTGCGCACATCTTATACCAATTAAATTACGTCAGATAAATGGACAACGGCTTAACCTTCACCTTCCAAATTTCACAAAAAAAAGGCCACGTCTGTTTTTATATGCTGTATCTCGCCACAAACAGGCGTATACATTGAACAGACAAGACACAAATAAAGTATTAATAAATCCCCTCGTTCTCCAAGCAAGCGTTAAATGTTCAGATGGCAAGTGGCGTTTTATACACACTAAATGACAACTTTTCCAGTCGCGCGCCACCAACCAGCCGAGGAGTAGCAGTGGCGGGTTATTTAAAAGTTAATCTCCCAGAGCTTAATAACAGTCAATCAGTAAGAGTACCGTACCTATATCTGAGGGTTGGCGACCACAGTCCTCCACTAAAAAAGTTATAGGGTTTTTACCAATCCTCTAAAGATCGTACGAGTTTTTTTTTTTATTTCTTTCATTCCTCCCAGTCTCTGCCTTCTCCTGGCCCTCCTACCCTCAACTTTGCCCATTTGTATTCTTGTTATTATCCCCTCACTCTTACTTATATGACCAAAGTATCGTATTTTTCTTTTTCTGTACATTTCAAGTATTTTTCTCAAGTTTTTGGTAATCTTGGTACAGTACTTCTTCATTCATTTTCCTGTGTCACTCATTCTTAGCATTCGCCTATAACACCACATTTTAAAGCCCGTTGCTCCTTCTGGTGTCTGCTGAAAGTGCCTACGTTTCTGACCCATACATCAATCCTTGCCACATAAAGTCTTTCAATAGCCTTTTCCTAAAATTGAAGTTAATGGCCCTCTTCATTATGTCGTTTAGATTATTAAATGCTGTTTTTACTTGCCCTATTCTCGTTCTGATTTCTTCCATATATCTACCATCTCAGCTAATGTTACTTCCCAAATACAGTATAGTCTGCATTTACGCGGATTTTGTTGACGCTTTTGGTCATTTACGCGGGACCTTGCCAGAATGAAAATTTTGAATTACGTGGGAAGTGGAGCGGCCATTGTGCGCATTAAGTCACTCTTACATTATCGCTGACGTTATATGACGTATCGGACTGCGATTGGGCCACGCATCCTTACCACCCACTCATTCCCTCTGCCGCTAGCTGTGATTGGTCTAATGTAACATGACGTGCCCTGCCACCAGAAGTCGCTGACCTAGCTGGGCCAGTCTCATTGTTCTCAGTCCGCGTATACAGTTCTCTCTTGTGCCCGCTATTCCCCTCACAATGGCTTCCGCTGGACCCCCACCACCCGAGAAAAACCTTGAATTACCTGGACCAAGCCATGGTTATGTGAAGGAAATCATCGAGTTGGGGGGAGAAAATCAAGCTCATCCTTGACAAAGACCCAGTCAATCATCGGTATGAAGTGTCTAATAACCTTCTGTCGAAAATTATGGAGCTGTATATCCAGAGCTATCACGACAACATCAATGCTAGTCGTCAACGTAGTACTGTATTAAAGACTTCTTCGCCCGCAACCCACCACAACCACAGCCAGCCCAAGTCAGTGATAGTGACAGTGAGGATATGGAATTTGAGGGATTTGTCAGGGAGGCCCTGCAAACCTCTGCGAGTAGTAAAAGTGATTCACCGGAGGGCCACTAATCTGCCCTCTGCCTCGGAACCAGCCGCCATCCATGTGTGCCGACCCATCCCTTCTACTTATGTAAGTGTTAAACACCTTTAGATTTGTAGTTTTTTATTTAGATATTATGTGTGCATCAATACCATCATAAATTATGATGTTATTTTTACTACAAGGTATGTATTGTGTCGGAAAAAGTGGAGTTTGGGAGTCGGCCCAGTCTCTATTTCAATTGATCCCATATGTTCTATTATTTCGTTTACGCGTTTCTCGTTTTACGCGGACCTCCACGGGTTCAATTGACCGCGTAAATCCAGACTATACTGTACACTGTAGTGGATACTCTCCCCTACAACTACTGACTGATCACTTGCCGTTCGTTTACCAGCCAATCAGCAGCGAGTTCCACAGACCAGGCATCACTCGCGGACGGACGTGTACAACTGCTGACTGATCACTTGCCGTCCGATATCAGCCAATCAGCAGCGAGTTCCACAGACCAGACCTCATTTACGGACTGCGCGGTGATTGGCGCCGCTCATTTCGCACCTCATCTCCCTGATCCTGGAGAATCATATAAATACACCTCAGCCTGGCCGTGGACATCACTCTACCCAACGCTCTCAAACCAACAAGACCTTTCAACAAGCTCCTCAACCAACAAGACCTCTCACTAAGCTCCTCACCCAATTGGACCTCTCAGCAAGCTCCTCACCACACAGCAACTCCCTAGCACTGCACTGTACATACAATATATACATACAGAAAATGCATTGTGAGTTTCACTTCTTACCTCCATCCTGAGTGTGAGATCTCTTACATGTACGTATGTATGTGAGCCTATCAAAGAGAAAATAGACAACATAGAGAAATTTGACAACTGGCCACATACAGTACAATACAATTGGTGACCCCAGGAGTACAGTACACTACAATTGGTGACCCCAGGAGTACAGTACGCTACAATTGGTGACCCCCGGAGTACAGTACGCTACAATTGGTGACCCCCGGAGTACAGTATGCTACAATTGGTGACCCCAGGAGTACAGTACGCTACAATTGGTGACCCCAGGAGTACAGTATGCTACAATTGGTGACCCCCAGAGTACAGTGCGCTACAATTGGTGACCCCCGGAGTACAGTACACTACAATTGGTGACCCCAGGAGTACAGTACACTACAATTGGTGACCCCAGGAGTACAGTACGCTACAATTGGTGACCCCCGGAGATACAGTGCGCTACAATTGGTGACCCCTGGAGTACAGTATACTACAATTGGTGACCCCAGGAGTACAGTACGCTACAATTGATGACCCCCAGAGTACAGTACACTACAATTGGTGACCCCAGGAGTACAGTACACTACAATTGGTGACCCCTGGAGTACAGTACGCTACAATTGGTGACCCCAGGAGTACAGTGCGCTACAATTGGTGATCCCCGGAGTACAGTACACTACAACACAACATTTTCCACTTGTTTAAGTTTCCTGTTGCCTACCATAATTTTTACTTTAGGATTTATTTCTAATTTGGAAACAACCATTACTTTCGTCTTGATAGCATTTACCCCATATTCTTTGCCTTTTTTCACTAATCTGTAAACTACTTTTTGTAACGCCTCATCATTATCTGTGATAAATTTAATCCTCTTTGCCACTGATCAGCTCATTAGCCACTTGGGCAGTCACTCATTCCACAATGTTAGCAACTACTGGCTCCAGAATGAATCTGTACCTGTGCCAGTGTTGGTCAAGTCTGGTCTTGAATTATCTCATTGCACAACTCTCTTAGCAATCTAGGATGCATCATGTCAGGGCCAAGGCTCTTATGAACCTTTAGCTTTGACAATGTTTCTTATACTGTACATTCTTCTCAGAACACAATGTGCATCAGCGCTGTGTCAAACTGTCTTTCCTCATATGCAGGTTTTTTCATCTTTTGCTTCAAGCTAAACAGGATTTTCTTGTGCAACTCCCTCTGCATTATCATGTGATCTGGACTCAGAAATGTTCTGAAAAGCTTTTATGATTCTTTCCTTGGAATTTTGCTCTGTTGAGAGACAATCCACTCTGTTTATTCTCCTGCAAGCCATCACTGTCTACAAATTCTCTGGATATTTTTACCCCACCAACATAGCAGGATAACACATGAAATAAAAAACATCTATACTGTACCTGTATAACACCTTTACTGTTTAAAAAATAAATTATGTGACAGGATAATATCTTTTACTACCTTTCATCTTACAATAGTAACCTCTTACACCATATTCTGTACAAGTAGAGTAGACATTAGAACTGTGTAAGTGTGTTGTACTGTACTCATTATATACAGAATTAATGAGATGATTAAATTGTACATGAGTTTTTGATAAGGATATCACAAGTACTGTACTAAGTATTTAACTTTTACTCTTTCAAAAATAAAAATAATAAATTAGAAAATTACATTATTCCCTTCAACATTTAAAATCACCACCATCATTTTACAACCATTTACCACACTTACGTAGGTTGGCCATGATCACCTGTAGTAGTTCTATCAGTTGTCACTATGTTGAAATGAACTGTAGTTTGAGCTTTTCCCCATCTAGTTATTATATGTCTTATTTGTGTCACTTATGTTACTTGTATATTATTTGTAATTCGAAACCCATTCCCCAAATATGTAACTGTATATTTTCAGCCTTCTGGCTGCCAAGCTCTTTCAATAAACCGTTAATTATTATTATTATTATTATTATTACTAAATGAAACAGATGAATCCTCTTATCAATACATCAGCTATAATTACTAACAAACTTGTACATAAATTATTATCTGGTGATACATTTCACAATATACAAGTACAGCACTGTATTATAATAGTTGTTATCACGCGCTTTACTAAATAACGAGGGAAAAAAATCTTGAAGATAGGAAATTTTCATGACAATTAACGTGTTTCAGGATGCAGTCAACAGCATATATTTGTAATAGTATGGTGATGTACTGAAGTGAATTCAAATAATACAATACATACGGCTAACTTGTTTTGCATTTCATTCAATTAACTCTAATTTTGAAGAGGTGGAAGTTGTTGCAAAATCCACTCTTGTAACATAATCAATTCCTCTTTATTTACTGCATGGTACAAGTTAAGGAAGGATTTAAACTCCCCCGGCACCCCACGCCTTTGTAGCTCCTTGAAGGTGTGTTCACCCCAAACATAAGGGACTACATCATCCTTCTCTCCATGACACATAAACAATGGAGGGCGACTATCATCTGGTGAAGATTCCAGGGCCTTTATAAAAGATAAAAAAATTTATGAATTCTTAAAGTTTACCCATCAAATAATACACTGAATGTAAGTAGACCTCCTAATATCTGAAGAAGAAAAATGACTAAGAAGATTTTATTAGTCTTTCTTTTAACATTGAACCCAGCTAGAAACCAATAATAAGGCATGCTGAACATATTTACCAAAACCTGAAGATTTACTCAGTCCTTTAGATATTTTCCTGATTAGTATTTAAATGAACAGAAAATTAACAACAATCAAGATTATAAATTCTAACAGTACATTATTTCATATCTAGGATTAGTTTATCTGAATTAGCAGAGATGGTATTCATCAGAAATGAAGGAGTAATTCCAATACTCTATCTTGTTTTATACCTGAGACCAGACTGGGGTACCCATGTCGTTCAGCCAGCTGAGACCACAGGGTTAGAACCCAGATTAATCACTATAATTTAATGGACTATAATTTAAAGATAAACTATGTCTTTTTGCCATAGCTACATACAATATTTGAAAATGGATTCTTAGAAAGACACATTGGCATTCAAAGCAGAAACTTAATTTATTGCCACAACCACAATCTAAAATAACATAATAATATGAACACACACATTGTCTTTAGCACATGCCAAACATTATACATTCCAGGCAGGCAGGTAGAGGCATAAATATAACACAAACTTCTAACTGATACAGAATTACCCACCTCATACACCTTAGAGTGCTGGTTCAGGAAGGATGACAACACAAACACTCCTCCTATATCTTTACGGAAGCGATATCCCATCTGCATTGCCAAGCTTGATCCCATGGAAAATCCTCCTATCCAAAGAGAAAATTAATTAAATGAAAATTTTCAGGTAAAACAAAAAATAATAATTATTAATTGAAAGGAAGACATTAAGTATGCAATTTAAAAAAATTATGACCTAAAAGATCTAAACTGTGAAAGCTCCTTTTGGAAGAGAGTCTAATATGTCTGGTGGCAAGACACATCAACCAGGAATACAAGGTCAGATAATTTCTTTTGCTGCCAGCATCATTTCTCACCCAGTTACATCATAGTTGAAGATTCAATCCCACTTGATCCAGTGGCTGACTCATGGTCCAGGAAGGCTTCAGGTCAGGGATTGAAATATGCAATACTGTACTTGTAACCAGAAACATCTTTGAGTAATCTACATACTGTATTCTCATTCTTATAAACATTATCAAAGAATATATTAATCCTGCTAGTGTCTCAGGCCTTAACCTCTCAAACTTGCAACTAATCAGAATGGTCATTAATGAATATGGCAATAACAATATTTTGATTGTATCTTTAGTCAATGGATTGCAATTTTTATCTACAATAAAATAAAATTACCTCTTCTGTACTGCACTCAGAGATGAAGCACATCTACTTGGGGCCACAACACTCGTCATACAACTGCTCTACTCTTTACCAACTTCATAGACAATAAGTCCATTACCTGTATAATACTGGGGACTTTGTCTCAGGCCATTCAACTATCCAGTACCTTTGACTCCCCTCCCCCATGCATGAGCCCTGACTGTACTCACCTAAGATAATTCTCTTAACATCAATTCCTTGTTGAATTTCTTGGTCTATAAGGTTGTTAATTTCCTCAGCCATGGGCTCAATAGTTGTTAAGTCTTCTGGCGCTTCCAGTGAGATACTGTGTCTGTGAATTGAAATAAAGTGATTTGGAAAATACCCATGATACAGGACAATACATATTACAGCTGGGCTGTATAATAAGACTTTACTAAACCTATTTTGTTATTTAATAAGGAATAAGATATTTAAACTGTCTCGGTTAAACACACTGATTATGAAACATTACTAATACAGTACAATACTGTACTACTGTATTAGTAATTGTGAATATTTACTGGTAATATAGACTGTTATATTTTTAGTAAAATAGATACCTGGACTGTATTTATATTTGGAAAAATGTGATAAGTAGCTAATAAACCGTATTCTACACTTTAATCCTGTAGTCTCATTCATTGAGTGTTTGAATGAGCACAAAACAGATGCTATTCATGTGTATAAACAATGCTTACATGTGAGTTTTACAACAATAACTTCATGAAACCACGACTAAAATGAATAAAAAACAACAAGTGGTCACATAGCATAAGATTGGCAAGTGAACAGAAACACCTCTGATGCATGTGGGTATTGGCTCATGAAGAAAGATTCAGGCAGCAGTGCAGAGGTAGTCCTTCCCTGCATGGATGACAGTGAATGTGTTTGTGCATTGCAGTCATTATGGGATGACAAATGAAGAGGAAGACACACACAGAGCTGCTAGGGAGTAATTTTCATTCAATTTCCTGATACAACAGTCATTAAACCGAGGAAGTTCAATCGTATACAGTAGTGAAAATATGGTGTTAAAAATTGACATCATTAATGTGAAGATTTGTAAGCTAAGAGATCATATATCAAGGGATGCTTGTATATCAATAAGTTGTTTAAACTACAGTAATCCTTTGTCTCTTATTTACTACAGCTTTTACTACAGCTCATCATTGTATAACACTACTACTGTACAGTTCATGGTTAGACATAAATCAAATGTGTGTTTTCTGTAATTCCTTCTGAATGACATAGCTAATACCAGAATACTATTGTAAGGGAAATGATTTTGTACATTCTCAACTGACCACTCTGTTCTGCAGACTCCTTCACAAGTCACTATATTCATTACAAGAAAAAGCTTCAAACAGTAATCTTAAAATTTGATATACAAATTACCATTGTGACAATAAAGAAGTACAGTAACTCTTTCTATGCTCATTCATAACTGCTTTAAGACAACTCTGTTATACTGTATCTTGTAACTGTAATTACTGTACATACTGTACCTATTAAACCAGACGTGTTGTAGGTAACCATTTGATGGGGTGTATGGTCTCAGTGGTGAAGTCGGATACAAGATGCGAATATGTGGGAACGTCAAGCGTTTACCTAAAGTTATCTTGATACCTTCCTTTGACATAGGACCTGTGCCACCTGCCAAAGAGGAACTCAAGTTGAAACAAGACAACTCACTAAAATTAACCTTGAGGTAAAATTTGGAAACAATGTTCTGTAGCTATTTCAAATAGAGATTCATTTCATGACTTTTTTGGTCGTGTGCACTGATCAGATGTTCAATATTCAATCATGATTGCAATAATTACCTGAACTACATTAGGCTGGGCTTAGTAAAATTAGATATTAAGTTACATGTAAGGTATTAAGGTATTAAGTTACATGTAAGGTATTAAGTTTCATGTTAGAGGTGCTTGGTAGGCGATGAAAGGCTTTCCAGTTAAGGATGACATGAGTATTTTGGCATCACAGAGATCGCATGCAGTGGCAGGAGAGTTGCAGTTACTGCACTGACTAAACATATACTTTTGCCACTTTAAAAAAAAAAAAGCAAGACATTATTTTCAGATTTCAGTTCCATGACAACCCCCCCAAATCTTTGTGACTTTCTGACACCAAATACTAGTCGAGAAGTGATTGGCAGTCCGATTTATTCATCTAGGACCATTATTTGACTTCATTCCGGCTATATTTGGGTACATTTGGGTAATTAGTCGGACCCCTAGTCAAGACTATCAAGAAAAATGGAGGAATTATACATAGGCCACTGGCTTTCTTCTCGATAAAATTGCAGATTACAGCAACCAAAGAATCTGATAAAAAATGTGTTACCTAACCTAACCTAATGTAATTCAAGAAAATGATCATAGAAACAATATTATTATCGATTGAGTGTAGTGAATTTCCGGATTTCTGTGGTTGCTGTTTACTGCAATATTACCTTCTTCTCTCGTTATAGCCGCCCCCAACCTAGGTGGAGTTAATGTATTACACAACTGAACCAAAGCACCAAGACTCACCACCACTTACTAATTTCTTACCTGATCCATGCATAAATATAATAGATGCTGTGTGCACAGGTTTTGATTGAGCACTTATAGTCATCTGTAGAATTTTACTTGACATCTTTAAACATATAACGCCGTCAGACAATTCTTGTATATTTCTATAAAGCAATTTATTAGAAGATTTCCTCAGGCTACTACCCGCACACCTGCCCTCAGCGGCGGCTTAACAACACACTGGCAACTGTGTTGTTATTGTTATGATCCGAGACTGACGCACCGTTAGACAGGTGTTTGCCGTTTTATATATATATATATATATATATATATATATATATATATATATATATATATATATATATATATATATATATATATATATATACCTTGCTGTGTACTATACTACAAACATCAGTTTTTTTATTTTAATTGATTTATCATTTCACCACTTCAGCTCACTAGTAGATGTTCGGGCAGTTGGTCGATCAGTTACTTGTTAGTGTGTTATGAACTTTATTGTCCATCTTTTCTTACTCACAAAGAAAAATATTGGATCTCATGAAGATCAGGCACCCCTAAGTACCCACCTGAAGATTTGACATCTCAGCTTAACCCACCTGAAGTTAAGGTAAGTGTGGTACAATATTACTGTATACTGTACCTGCACTAGTGGTGCAGGTTAGACACAGTTCAAAACAAAAACTAACAATGCATTATGACCAAATAAAAGATGAGTAAATTTCTAAGAACACTGTAGGGAACTGAACAATATACACTAGATTTCAGTTCATCATATATTTATTAATACAGGTTTCTCAAGTTAATTTTATTACCAAAATTTATTAAAATGGAAAACACTAATGTAGTCAGGCAAATGCAGCTCCACAACTGGGTAACTTAAATGCAGTACTGTAGTGGGATAGAGAATTAAATAATATTATAGCACAAGAAAAGGAACCACAGGACGAAAAGACCACAAAGAAGAAACAGGAGGATTATGAATAGCTTACAGCCATAAAATCAAAAGCAAACTCAAAGGAGTATTTTAGATATGTTGGAAAAAGATAAAATTATGTTGTTGCTATAATGTTATTATTGTCCTTGAACAACAAAGGTCTTTAAGCCCATAATAAGGTTAATAATTACACTGGTCCAATAACATAAAAATATTTTGACATAATCCTTCAAGTAAAGTTTGGGAAAATGTAGGATCACTTAAGTAGAGGTAATTCATTAGTTTAAAACAGACTATGTGTACAGTACTTCCTTTAATGGATGTATTTGCTGGATTATTTATGATACCAATGATATTTTTAATCAATGATGATTTACATTCAAACTGTCTTCATTCTTTTAAATATGCAAAAACTATCCCTCAGCTAATTTTATGTAATATGAATTGTCAAAGTTGGTACTGTATAGTCAGATGAACTGGACTAAATGCTTAAAACAGCTTCCAAAGGGAGCACAAACACCTAGCTAGATGATAATAGGAGAAAAAAATAAATTCTAAAATGGGTCTCTGGGATCACGTGAAGATTGGACACCCCAAGTAGCATCAGGATCCTCAAGTCATTACGATTAACATGAATTGGTATTTAACGCGTGTTTTTAATGGGCTTTTTATATCCGTTTTTCATTGTCACTTATTTACTGATTTTTAAATTAATTTCACATACTATTAGTAAACTGATATAATCAGACACAAAAGAGTTCCTTGATCAGTTTCAATATCAATATGATTTACCAATACTATTTTACATACAGTACAGGTGCATGATACAGTACATTCATTCTCCTATTATTTTTAGAATAACTTATTGTACATTAACTGGTATAGTATACTGTACTACTGTATACATACTGTGGAACGTTCTTTATAGATTGTGATAGTATATATATACCCTGGTATGTATTTAGTTTGAAAACTTTCAATCAATTGATGGTAAACATGAAATGCTCATACTGCATGATTAGAGTGATCTGACAAGTCTATGTACAGTACTGTGTACAGTATTATTTTATCAGCTGGCTGTTGTATTGTACTGCATTGCACAGTAAATTACTTGTACTTTTGCATGTAAGTCACATAGTTATATTTTTTATTGGGATAACAAAGTATATTGAAAGCATCATGTTACTCAAGTCTCGTGATTTCCCCTCAGAATGACCAAGATATAACAATTAATTATTTAGTTGTAAAAAAAAATTAAGGAAAACCTTTTATTGAAAGTAACCAAAAGAATATACAGTATCTATCCCCTGAACTACACAAATATATCATTAAATACAGTACAACCTGTAGCACTAAACCCAACATGGAGAGAACTGGACTTCAATCACCATGAGAGAAACTAAATTAACTAGCCATTGGCTCACTAAGTACATAAAATCATAATTCTATAAAATATATTTATGAGTGAATTTCATTGCAAGGTTTACCATAAAATGGAGGTGTCAGAAAGATGGGATGAAGTTGTCAAAAAGTTGCATGAATAAATGGGTCAAGATAATACTGTACGTATGTTAGTAAATCTATGACAACTTGAGAGATGGTGTACTCAATACAAGACATACAGGCGATAAGAACCGATTCATATTGCTTGTTCAACTAGAGTTCAAATGAATTTCACAAGTTTATACACAGATCTTCTATATTTGAGGATTTGTTTTGTTATCCATATACGTACTGTACTGCACAGTATACTATATGCAAAAGAGAATAATCATTGTTGATAGTCACATACTACATTATGCTGTTCTGTGGAATGTATGCTTGAAGAGTACACTGGTGTTGGAGACCTTTGTTCTAATGTCCATGAGACTTGTAGTGCTAAGAGACAACTGGTAAGTTTCATTAGCCCATTAAGCTCATGGTCAGCTGGACAAATCTCACCCACTTGCTGACTGATGGTGCTGATTAAAATTGGGTTTGGTCTCTTCTCTTTGGTTTAATAAAGCTGCAGCATTCCTAAGACTGCTGTGGATGTCTTCTTTGGTCTGTTAGGCAAGTCATGGAGTAATCTTGTACCTCTCCATCCTTAACAGATTTATATTTTTTGCATGTGTGTTATTATGTAGTAAACATGTGAATACTGTACAGTACTCAGTACTTATTCTGCTGTGAAGTGTTCATCAGTGCTTTATGGTATGTTTTTTATCTTTAGTGTATGAAATGATGTCACAGATGGGTAGTGTCTGATAGTGAGCATCTCAGATTCATTACTTTTTTACCTGTACAATTATTAAAATTCATAATTTTAGTAGTTATACAAACACTAGCTATATTCCTGTACATATTGTATATTGTATACACACCAAATGTTATAGGTTCAACATAACAATGAGTTATAAATATTTGTGGCTGGGTTGGATGTCTGGCAACTTACAGGCATGGTAGTAATGCATATGTTTTAGACTTAAATTATGGTGCTCTTAATCTGATGTAGGGAAATAACAGGAACAATATAATTTTTTATAATTACCCATTATTAATAAAAATAAATAACAATAAAATTTTTTCACTCATGGAAATACATAAACTCTTATAAAAGATATACGTAGTACAGTATCTGTACACACAATTACAGTACTGTATTATAAAAATACTGCAGGATCAACACAATCAGTTATTTATAAACCTGTAGCTGTACCTAAGACGGATGAGCATGAGGAAGTCTGGCAACTGTCAGGATTTTGGTGAAGTAACCAGTGGTGTCGGTTATCGAGAGGGTTTATATAGTTGATGTAATTTGATAATTTGAAGTAATTTGACAATCAAATTGCAATTAGACAGAAGGATGCAAATACCTAGAAGAATTTACTTATTAGTTGTATTATTCTGTGTGGTATGAATGTGTTACTTTTCCTTAATATTACAATGTTCAGCAATATAAAATAAAATTTGACTTTAGAAATATGAAAATTATGACTTTTAGTGTATTCTATATAAATTTAGTGGATGATTGTAACTAAAACATTCTGTGGCTTAGAGGCGAGACTCAGGCAGGAGCCCCAGTGACCAAAGTTGAGTGGCAGTTGAACATTCAGCATCCAAGTATCTCAAAACTGTTTTATCTGTTGGAAAAAAGAGGAAACAAATTTGTATTTTTTTTCATATTGTTGTCAGTCATTTCCGACTGTACTGTTGGGTGGCTGGAGTCGATACCAAAAACATCTAATTTCACCTGCCTTCCTCCACCCATTCACTGCTCTCACATTCCAATAACCACATGAAGTCATCCTCTCCAATCATTTATGAACTCAGCTGCTTCCTGGATGAGCATCCCCTTTCAACTTAAGTATTTTCTTCACCTTTAAATACTGTATTGTATAATCATTAAATACCTGTACAGTACCAATATACAATACAGTACAGTGGTCCCTCGGTTAACGAGATTTCGGTTAACGAGTTACCTTCCATAAGATTCTTAACTTCGGTTAACGAGCAATCCCTCGATTAATGAGTTTCTTACGAGCCGACCTGAACAAGTTTTCGCTTGCATTTGGCGGTCCACCAGCTGTAGTATTAGTCCGCCGGTACAGTAATCAGTTCTAGGGCTTAAATTCCTTACCATTTTAGTAAATATCAAGAAGTTTATATTATTCAATAATTTTACAAGTTTAATATTAAATTTTTTAGTAATTTTAACAATTATTGAACATGCCATCCAGCCTGCCAACACACCATACAGGCGTCAGTCTTTGTGTCTTTTCAGTGGAGGTAACATCTTGCTTGAGACTCTCTTCAACTAAATGCTTTTTTTTCTGTGTTTGCAAGCAAATTATTGGTCATTTTGAAATTTATTTTACATATTGACAATATATAATGCAGTGTAGTGTTGATTTAAAGAACATAATCTTGAATTACACCAAGAGAACTAAAATTTTATGGGTGAAATGGCGCCATGGGGTGACTTCTCTTCCACCCCAATGCCTTCTCTTCTCCTCCACCCCCTTTCTAATTCCCATCATCATCATCATCCAGGAGCCTTCTACATACACACCTCAAAGTAAGTGTACTTTTCTACCTTTTTTGTTGAATTTCGGCAATTTTCGGTGAGCTGGAACCAATTACCCCAAAACCCATTGAAACAATGGTTTCGGTTAACGAGCAACCTTCTAGAACGGATTGTGCTCGTTGACCGAGGGACCACTGTACAGGTATAGTATACTGTTTATGTAAGAACACACAATTATGTGAAAAATACAGTAATTAATACTATGCTACCACAGTTCCTTTGTATAAGTAATACAATATTATGCTTACCTCCAGATTGCAGGAAAGCCTCTATAATCTTAAATATTGCTGCTGCAGGAATTGCCAGGTTAATGTGTGGAAAAGTGGCTTTGTTACCTAAATCACATGTATTGCACACCACAACACCAACTACCTGCAACCCTGAAAATGGAATAAGACAACTAAATAATATTTCACCATGGCTATATGGGTATTTGGTCCACTAACCAGCTAATTCTGACTTATAACTGTGAATGTGAGAAATTTAATATAATGTATGTTACTGTACTGTATATACTGTACCTATAAGCTGTAATTTTAAACATCTTTTTGTTGATTCTTGCAAGCATTTTTCCACTTTGCTGTAAGTTGTTCAAAACAAATGTTGATCCTGCTTTTTAAAACTCAGGGATTACCGAGCTACTCCACTCCCTTGACAGGACGCTAATCCACTGAAAGGTTGCCTCACTAAGTCAGATAGTGTTATATTCAAATATTCTTTATTTACTTAGTATTTCTAAAAGCTTACTACAGTATTTTACTGATCAGAAGTAATTGTAAACAGTGCTATCTAGATTTTACAACCTTCACACTGAGGGAGTCATCTACCAAAAATTGCAATACTGTACTGTACAGTATTAGTTATTACCTTCCTGGCAGAAATAATTGTAATAATGTCTGTATAGTTTGTGGTGTTATTCTAGGGACATCAAATAGTTGGAATGTGACGAGAGATTTTTTTTACCTTAATAAATAAGGAAAAGGAAACATATTCTTTCCATTATAATGGATAGGAACAGATATAGGAAGACGGCTGATAAGATATAACTAAGAATGCATACTAACAAGAAATTAGAGAAAGATCACACAGGGACAACAGATACACAAGACATTACAACACTGATATGATGTTTCTTTTTAGATGATAAGTGTCAACATTTTAAAATCAATGAAGTCAAATTTAGTGCACCAGTTGTCCATTTCCTTGCAACATACTGTATTTGCATTATATGAAAACATTAACCACCCTGTTGCTGCAGCTAATGTACAAGAATGAATGACAACAGACATTATGATTCCAGCTACTCAGTAATAAAATGGTACAGGCCTTGTAAGAACTAAAATAAGCTAACTCAGCAATAAAATGGTACAGGCCTTGTAAGAACTAAAATAAGCTATCTGTTTTACTGTGCATATTGAATAACAGTACAAGATATGCATTATCAATTAGATACTTCCAAACATATTCAATCAGTGAGTGTATTGAAAACTTGTGCACATGAAAACAACAACTGTACAGTAGTTTATAGATGAGCTCACCACGCTGAGGATGAATTGACACAATGGGTCCACCACTGGTACCAGCGTAGACTGCACATGTTGTCTGCATTATCATCGGTATCATGCCATTGTTGTCACTGCTCACCAACACGTGGCCATCCATAATCCTTTCCACGTCAGGATGTTCATTATCACAACTTTCAAGAGCATCACTCTTGATTACATCTTGAGAATCCTTTTTAAAATCTTCAAAACCTGTCAAACCATCTTTGCTACCTTGCTTTACTATATCATCACAGATTCTATTAACCACCATGCCAGTATTATAGTCATCCATATTCTTTACAGGCATTTGATCATCTTTTTCACTGCTTGGGTGTGTGGGCCAGTGAAGTGAGTGAATTGGGAAGTTAACCACCTTTGATACAATGCCTTGAGACAATGTTGGAGTGGGCAAACGATTGGGAGAGAACATCCCATAACCAGCTAATACAACTGGTGAACCTGCAAAAGAATTGAAATGAATGATTTTCATGAGGGAAAAATTAACTAACAATAAATGTACAAATACAGTATTATAGCACAAATTCCTTTATCAATTAAACTCACAAAAGAAAGGACACGACTTATCTGCTTTCATCAAAGGCCTGTTAAAAGAGGGGAGTACTGGTTCAACCCTTTTATACTGACCAACACAATAACAATATATCAAAAGATTAAATAGAAATTCCTTAACCTTTTGGTGGTAGTGTGGAAGCCAAAGGAAGGCGCATTGGAAGAGAACTGTCAGTGATAACAACAGCCAGATCCCACACACTTGACCCTTGGGTGCTACTCTTACTTTGGTGGTTCAACATATATGGCCGAGTTTGATGAATTACTCGTCCTGGTAATTTTCTTCCATCTGATAACATTATCCTCACATTCTGAAGATCAAACTAATGATTAATACTTTTTTCAAATAAGTCAGAATATCCAGTTAATAACTAATCTTAAAAACATGTACGTAAGTACAATCCGGTACAGTAATACAAACATTTAAAAGGTTTCCTAAGCTATTTGGTATACTGTATAATGTCTGTAAAATAGATAAGAAATTTATGTTTTTAAACGTTAGTTTTAGCCTGAAACACCCACCCACACACACACACACAAAAAAAAAAGCATAAAAAAAAAATAAAATCCCAGACTGCCTCTCAGGTTCTGTATGTCATCATCAGAGGACCAGCATCCACACTTTTTATGAAGGCCCACAATAATGAACGTCAGGCTGCTTCATTAATGTTACAGATCAGTAAAAAAATAAAAAAATAAAAATAAAAAGGTTTAACAAATTTATGAGGTAAATTTACTAAACAATTTAATAATAAAAGCTATAATGAATTATACACCCTGACAGCTGAGAGAACACCAGCCCACATCACTCACGCTCACTGGTTATACCTGTACATGCTTTTCTACACTCTCGTGCAGATTACTTGAGGCCAAATTTGGCAAAATTTATATCTTATAAAATAAAAAAGAAGTAAATTACTAGGATTTATTAAAAATATGTAAATACTGTACATTTACAATAATGTATGTACTAATCTATTAACCGTAATAATACCCGGTAGATATTTTCTCCCAACCATAAACACAGACAATATATGTACTGATGAGGCTGATAATGTACAAGATGAGCTATGAAGAGACTGAACTTGCAAGGGAAGAAATGACAGAGGGATTTGGTCCAGTTATCCAAACACCTTACAACAGAAACACAGTATCACAAAACTTACACCACTAGTAGTTGGATCAGTAACATGAGCACATGTTAGTATGATTCCTGGTGAGGTGCTAATAACAAAGCCAGTGCCCCATCCTCCTCCACAACACACAGCTACAACACTGCCATTCAGATAATTAACTAAATCTGTAAAAGTAAAACAAACAAAACTAATTATTATGAGCCTCTAATGTGAACTGTGTACTGTATGTGTATGATTAAAACATGAAAAAGGAAATTAGTGTGTTCACAGGCATAAATACACATATCAATTTATGCATGTGTGTACACTCGCTCCAAAAGGTATCTTTATGGAGGGATCCAATCAATTTCATAATGGACTTCTGTTGTCTCGGCAGGGTTGTCAAAATCCTTCATCCTTTGTTTCATACAAAATTGTTAAGATCCTTTTTGGAATGGGTGTACATGAGTGAATGAATTTGGAAGGGTGTGACTATTTTGGGATATACCTGTTGGTATTAGGTGATGCTGTGTTAACGGTTACAGCAGGAATACACCAGGTAAATATTTGAGGTCTTATCATGGAAGTTTAATGCCATAGCAGAACACAATTACTGCAGCAACAATAAAGAATGAATGAATGAATGACAGTAAATGAAGGGAAAGACTGCATATTTTCTTGATTTTGACCATCTTACATTACAGCAAGAATAATCTTGGAATACATACCTGTACTTATAATCTTCTTATTGTTGCCTCCTGCTCTTGAAAGCCAATTTCAGCAATTTAAACTACTACTGGTAAACAAATTGTTATTCATCCATTCTGTACAATAAAGTGTGTCCCACTCCTGATGATAAGGATGAAACTTTACACAAGAGTTAGTTAGCCATAAATTACAAATAATAATTCAAAAAGACACTAAACTGTTTTAAGAATAATCAATAGAACTCTAACCAGCTTTTGGATTTCCTTTCTTTGACACAAAATCATCATATGTCCACTTCCTTTCTTGATTGTATGCAATATTCTCTTGCAGTCTCTCATCTCTTTGTAACGTCTCTTCAACTTGGTTCCTTAAGTTCTTATCATTTGGTGAGTTATCTTGATTGTGGGAAAGTTTGGTCTCTCCATTTTCACAGTTAATACTAGAGTTTAGGAAGTGGAGTAAAGCTTGCAGGACAGGTTTCATTGATGCCAGGAGAGTTAGTCCAAGCCACTCCCCGCCCCGCCAGCAGAAGGGTGAGATGACCATTCCACACAGATGTCTCCTACATTATGACAAAATAACATCATACTCATAAAATCATATTACATTTCAGGTAACACATTCTTTTTTATTTTGAGGTTTTAAGTGAATACTAAATATATACATTAAGCTACATGTTAATCAATCATAAGGATGAACTGATTGGTGGAATGAAAAACAAAAACCAGAAAAATTAACAAAAAGTAGTTGATGATAACTGTTTGAGTAATTACAATACCTTCAAATATTAATGTCAAAATATATCAACAGTTACTGTATAATCTATGTATTTAAGTGTTACAATAATTCCCAGACAACATTATATAATGGTCAAGCCTGTACAATAGATACAGTACCCACACTCACCTTCCTCCCATTACTTCAAACACTGGAGCTCCCTCTGAACCCATGATACACCTAGCATCAGTTAACATGATATCACTGGCAGTGTTATCAACATTACTGATGATCCCACAACTGAGGGAGTTGAGGAACACGCTGGGTGACAGAGTGCCAAAGGGGGAACTCTCCACATACACAGTCACACCTGGTAATGTAATATCACTTTAGTCAGAATTCACAACGTAACAACAACTTATAAAATACTATAAAATACATGACTTATAAAATACAATATGTAAAATACTATCATTTAAAATATTTTTATAATTAATAAGATTTAAACCTAACCATTAGAAAACTTCATACAGTATTTTAAAATACTCAGGTTACCTAACATAAACATACCTTTATTAGTGATGCTTGTGAGAGACAGTATTTGTTCAGTAAGATTTATAACATCTTTATTGGTAGCTTCCATGACTGTATCATCACTAATAATTCTGGGAAAATCAGGCAAAATCTTGATAAGCACAAAGGTGGACAAGATAAGAATTTCAAGAGCGACATCACGGTCTTTCTCTTCATCCTCCGTTAATTTCCACCCCTGAGAAGCGGGCATGATCCTTGTAACACTTTTGCTGATCCCCGGCTGAACAAACATCATTTCAACACTAGCTGGGAGAGAAGAGTAGTTGGGTGTTGCCATTTTGAGTGAAGTGGATGGTTGTGAGACATGAGCACTGTTAGCAATAATATTCTGGATTTCTTCAGTGGGCAACAAGGAACTTGGATTTTCTATTTGTAATTTATTTTCGGGGCATTCAGTAATCAGTAATTTATGAGACCCTTTTTTTTCTTGGACAGAACTTGATGATGCAGCAGATACATGTTTTGTATGGGTAAGCTCATTACCAAGTTCTTCAGCAGGTAAGATAACTCGAAAGTGAGAGTGAGTAACTTCAAGAACTGTCCTTAACAGATTCTTTCCATCTTCAGTGCATACATGACCTTTTGATGAAAGTTCTTGGAGAAGTAACTCTGCTCTTTTATCTTTCAAGATATCAGTTACAATTGTTCCATGAGTAAGAATTATTCCCTTTCCCATATAAATTCCAGAGCAGCTGATATTTTCTGAAGAATTTTTTTCCGAGCGGGAGTATTCCACTATGACACCAAATCCCTCCATTTTGTTCATTTTTTTCACAAGTTCTACAGTAAAACTTTGTTCAATCATAAAACACTGATATGTCTAAAGGATTCATTGCTACTGTAGTTAGTTTTATGTACACTCATCTAGCACACATTTACAACTACCACTTCTAGAAAATAATGTTTTGCACACAATCATTAATGCTGTTAATTCTTAGTTTCTTCTTCTTCTAAAGCTTGTAAGAGCTCTCTCTCTTTTCGCTCATGCATTTTCTTTATGCATGATTCAATCTCCTGGAAGAGTAAAGAAAAATTATCAAATATTGTCCAGCTATTTATTTACTGTATAGTGATGGTCAACTATTTGGACCGATATTTCTAATTTTCAAAGTAAACTGTTCAACAAAAACAAACAGATTATAAGTCGATGCTTTACCATTTACAGAACAGTACAGTACAGTATACAGTACAGTACTACATTGCATTTTTTTTTACGGGCATTAGCCCACACGGGCACAGGCCATTTTTAATAACCCACATCAAGGCCTGGGGGGCGAAAATATAATAATAAAATAATAATAATAATAAAAGAAAATAATAATAGTAATAAAAGTTATACAAAATATAAATAATAATAATAATAACAATAGTATAATAATAAAAAGCCATAAATAAAAAAAAATCAAGAGTGAAACGAAATACTGTACTGTATGCATGTCGAGTTGTCAAAGTAAGAGAAACAATTGAGACCCTGCAATTGTGTGTAAATGAGGCAGAAAGTCAGATCAGCAACCTGGGACTTGGTCACAATTTTCGTGATGTCATATGGCAGCAGGGTCTACCATTAGACAACACATTATGCTTCCAATGTCTTCCCTGGCGGTAGTACCTCCCTGTTTGATAGCTGCCTACTACTGTACAGTATTCACACTTTGTTACAGTAACCACGACAAATTTTGTTCCATGAAGATGTCATTACTGTATATTACTAATTATATAATAAAATGGGGTTGTGTTCATAGACATGTCCCAGTATTAGTGCAAAAATTAATCAAACCTCTTGAAACATGATAACATCCAAAGATTACAATAATTTAACGGTACATTACCCTATGAAGGAAATAAGCTAGAGTGGAGATTCTTCAGGTGAACCAGTTTTTCAGTTCTTTAATATAGAACTACAGTAAGGCAAAGAAAAATTAATAACTACACATAAGAAATTAAATCAAGAATTATTTCTGAAGAAATATCAACATTCGGCAATATTAATTCTGGCAAAGTTAATTATAAAATCTAAACAAATACTGTACCTCATTGTGCATCTTATCTAGAGGTGGGTACAACTCTCGACGCATTCTGACAGTCCAGTCTTCAAAATATTTGGGTTGATTGAATAAATAGAAGAGAGTAACTGGGAAGGACATGTACATGGCCATCTTGCCCACTTCCAACATCCACCCACCCATCTTGATGACCTGAAAATAAAGAAATATTGGCATGGCATCCATAACAACAGTAATACTACCTGTCTATTTACAGCATTATCTTTACTACTCTTTCACGTTTGTGTTGTAGAAGTAGGTTGTCACCTGATGTTAACCATGAGGTGTAATTTCTTGATCATACTCCTGTTCTAGCTTTGGTACTTCCTGCATCAGCATAGCTGTGGTCCTGTCTACAATTTTAACTTAGGCATAGCCATGTGTATAGTATTTGTTTTTAGTACAGTACAGTACAGTACAGGTACTTGGAAAATTTATTCAAAGCTGAGTTATCACCATAGTAAGTCAAATTTTGTCAATGTTGTATTCCAAGCATTGTTTACCTTTTGGTAATGACCCAATTTAGGTTGAACTACCGAGACAGTTTTGTTGGCCCATCATAACCATGCTGTGCAATGGAGCAATGATCACAGTAACTACACCTGTCTTGGTAAAACAGTGTTTCACCAGACATGGGTGTCCGGCATGTCTCAACCAGCAACTTGAGGACATTTCTCCGTTGATGTTGAATGCTTTTTACCTCATGGGAAGGCTGAAAAGTGGATGAGGATATATATTTTTTTGTATTGTATTTTTATGACTCTGAGTCCTGAACACTAAGCTATGGTAGGGGTCGGAGCTTCAGTGCCATCACTCCTGTTTACAGCTGACACTTCTGGGATGTGTTGTTTGTACCTTTCATCGATGGGGTTCTTTTATAGAGGATAACTTATTTCAGTTTAGGTTAGGTAGGTTATGGTGTCAATGTTTTTTTCTTACATTATTGGGCTGGATGACAAAGACCAACAATGGCCAGAAGTAACTAATGGAATTGTTTCCCAAAGGCCAGGAATATTCGTTCACAAAATAAACCAACCTAACCTTCCCAATCTACCCAATCTAACCTAAACTAAAATATTATGTAATGGATACTGGTACAGCAGTCGTACGCCAAAAATCACACTGGATATAAGCGCGGCAGCTGTATTGATGAAGTGTGTTAATAGTTACCTTAGGTTAGATGAATCAGAAAGAAAGCCATCTTGGTAACTATCATTATATAGTCTGCCCGCCATGCATGCACATTACACTGCCATGCAATCGACATCAGTGTTTCGTACACGGCTGTTATGCCTGTCTCCTGTACCAAAATATTAGAGTTATCATGTATTATCCATAAAAAAGAAATGCCTTTGAAAGAAACCAGTAAGACCTCCTAGATGTAAACATAGGAGCTTTGGTATCAGAACTTGTAAGTCCCGGCCATGGATTAGTGTTCAGGGTAGAAAAAAATTATAAAACCGATATTACCCGGTATGAAATAGTTTTCCTTGTTCACTCTTTGGCTTTTTCATGATGTAAGGAATCATTTATTTTCTAAAGTGAAATGTCCTCAACTTGCTGACTGAGGAAAACAAGAAATACGAGGATTTACCTATATACAATATGGTTAAGAACTGCAATTAAAATTATTATAGAAAAATCCGAAGACAACACAAAAACTCAAAAGATTTATTTCCAGCAACTCCTATTATCTCAGACAGGGTAGTCATCAGGGTTATTAGCACTCACTAGAAGATGTAATCCTCAAACAAACTTTTACTTCATAATGCTGTATAAGTTTCTATGAACAACCTTAATATGACGATTTTGTGTCGCCTGGTCTTCTATTTTTCAACGGCATATTCAACAATAAGCTCTTACCTCAAGTTACGTGCTCTAGTACAAGTAGAAATTCAACAAAACTAGTAATACAATAAAAAAGAATCTGTGCTCCACCCTATACGAGTAAAACATCTCGAGACTAAACTTACTGCTTATATTTACCTAACTATATGGTGCAGGTAAGTTCCCTAATGTTAAAAATGTACCAAGACCACACAATAAACATTTTATTTTCTGACTGTACAAACTGACCAAATCTAACCACGATTAAAACACTTATCCATAAAATCATGAATCTGGTTTTTTTTTTTGCGTCTTATATCTCATAAACAAATAATAAGTAATGTAAAGGAATAAATAGTTAGGCAGTCATATTCGTTGTGGTAGTTCAACATCGGTCATATACGTCATGGACTTTGAGATTCAGTGTTGCCAGAACCAAATTCCAAGCTGCCTTTAGGATGAGATTTTCACCTCATTAGTTTACTAGCCATTTGGGCAGTTGGTCTGGTCTTTGTTAGGAGATCCATTGTGTAGTATTAGTACAGTAGGAAACGAGACAGGAATACCTGGAGAAAACAGTCTTACTCAAACACTAAAAATATATATTTTTTTTTTATCAATTTACGTCCTTCACGATAATATCTGTGCCGGTCTCTGCGCCGAGGCCTTATACCCAGAGTGGAACGCTTGGACTTCATGGGACCCGTTTTATTCTGAGGTATAACCCATTCATTGGGGTATAACATCCCTTTCATTCTGAAGTATGATTCCCTTTTTACTCTGAGGAATAATTACCCTTATTACTGAGGCATGATGACACATTTACACCATAAAGTGACAGCAAACTGTCGACTGTCGCCTTATGTTTAGGAATAAGTAGTAGTAGAAATTACGTATAAATTCGAATTGTTCGGAAATAATAATTAATTGTAATAATAATAATAATAATAATTATAATAATAATAATAATAATAACTTTATCCGATTATATGAAAAGGTAAAAAAAATGAAGAGGATAAAGTAAGATGCTAGCTTGATTTTGGAGGAAAAGTGTTGTTATATTCTGAGGTTAATTTAAGCCACCTGAAACTTTTTAAACTTATGCACATGCTTATAATTAAGTATATTAATATACAAACAAAATTTAATTTTGGTTTCTGTAACGTAAGGAAATTGTTAGTTTGGGAACTGTTGGATCTGATGTGACGGAGCCGCTGACCTGTTGGCGCCTGGCGGGAAAATGGAGCTCACTGCCTGCAGGCTGTGTGAGGGATGTCTCGTCTTTTGAGTTGATGGCTTATGAACTCTTCGTGCAAGTGGCGTGGAATTGCCTGGCCATCGTGCATTGAAGACGTAGAATACACTAGCGAAGGTAATTAACATCATGATATTTTTAAGAAAGTTATTGGGGTGAGGAGTGAGGTGAGTACGTTTGTAGATACGGATATTATTTTAAACACGTATCATTGATTATTTTTGAACCGACTTTACCTTGATAATGCCCACACAAGCTCCATATATTTTTTTCTTCAAAATTAATGTTGTCTGTAGTACAAATCAAACATTTTTCTTGTTCATATTTTAGTAATCCTGGTTGTCGAGATACATGTATAATATTTATTATATTTTCATATTGCCAAACCTGCATTTTCCTGTAACTATGTATTAAAACCGGACTCAGACCGGGGGAGGGGTACACTGGTCATTAGTGCCTCCCGTATTGAGTGCCTCAAGTTGGCGGGTGGGCCATTTTGTCCTGGCCTCACTCACCCCACCTGTTGCTATATAGTTTCATTACCTACACCTCCCCTGCCCCGCCATGTATGGGTTGAGGACAGTATTGTGAACTAAGAGTAGATAATTGTTTAGTGTTTACACAATTATCTAATCTTAAGACCGGCACATTTTCGTTTTGTGGGAACGTGTCCAATTGACCCCTGCTGAAAACTTTAGTTAGCCAAATGATTGAAATTGAGGAAATAACTTCTCGTCCTTTCATTGTTAACTTTCTTAAGAGTATTGTTTACCTCGGGCGTAAAAACTAATACAGTAATAGAAAAGAC